CATCATTTGTGAGTTTATATTTGATGATGATGATGATGAGAGAGGAGGAAAAAAAATTCCATGAAAAAATACAAAGAACAAATGAAAATGCCTTTTTTGGAAATGCAAGAGAGAGAGAGAAAACATTCATTCATTCGTTTACAAAATAGTTACAACAAATATCATCAAAATGGAACGCATAAAATTCAAAAAAAACAATGAAAATAAAAAAAAAGTACAAAAGTTTCATTCTATACATTGATGTATGGTATGGTATGTACTTTTGGATCAGTTATTGTCCGGTTTGATGTTGCCGAAACATGAATTTGGTTCTATGTATATGGTATTTTGGATTTGAATTCTTTTTTGCCATTTTATTTTATTTTATTTCATTTTTGTTGAAAGCAAAAAAAAAAAAAAAATCACGAAAAGATATACATGGAATGTGTGTGTGTGTGTGTTTATTGGATTCGCAGATCACAGTTCATCATTGAAACAACTGCGAGTGTTAGTGTAACTCTTCTTTTTTTTCGATTATTTCGATCTTTTACCATTGTCTTATCTTTATAGTGACATTTTAAAACTTTTTTTTCTTTCTACAAAGTCTCACATTGCAACTGTTAAACATTGTTCTAGTTACAAATTTTTTATTCTTTCTTTTTCTTTTTTTTTTGGTCTTTATTCACAGTGAATGTAATGAGAATTTTTTTTCCTGTTTTCATCAGCAGAATGCAATAAAAATAAGTAATATGAAAGTGAAAATGAATATAAAAAAAAGATATAGAAGAGAACAAAAAAAGTTAAGACATTAAAACAAGTGATGATGATGATGATGATCATATCATAATAGTAGTGTTGGAAGAATAAAAAAAAAGTACCACCCGAAATCGACCGAAAGTTTGAAGTGTATATATTACTTGATGTGTGTGTGTGTGATCAATGTGGATATAAATTTTCAGAATATAAAAGAAAAAATCGTCACCATCCATTCATTGTATCAACGGTGTATGTAAATCATCATCATCATGTCAATCATTTATGTTATTCAACAAAAAAAAATTTTCATCTAGACGTAAGAGAACAAAAAATGCATTTATTTTGTTCACACATATCTATGGTATGAAATGATCGTTTGAATGAATAATGATCATCATCATTATCATTATATATATATATTGAAGAGGATTTGTTTGATATTGAAACATGCCAAAAAAAAAAAAAAAAATGAAACAATGTCCTCAAATACATTATTATTGTTTGTTTGTTTGTCATTTTGAAGAAACAAAAAAAAAATGAAAATTGCTAGTAAACAAAATTTAATAGTTAGGTACATTGGTCCACATTTTGGTTATATAATATCCAAAACGACAAATTACATTTGGCATCGACCATCATTATATATCATGCATAGGAAAATTATGGATCTCTATCCGTAAAATGTAATCAATTTTATTTCATTTCAATTCACTGTTTTTTTTTGAATTATAGTTAAAAAAAACAGCGTAAAATCCCAACAACCAAACGTGATTATATAATAAATGATGATTTGGCCAAAAGAATTTTCAGTCACTGTCTCTATAGGGATTCGGTGATTAAAAAAAATTCCGCCTAATACACCCATGACTGTCCATGTGTGTGTGTGTTTGTGTGTGATGAAACGTGGCCTTTTATTATATTTTAGTTTGTGCGTGCCTTTTTTATCAAATACCGTTATATGATGAAGTTCCTAGGCAAAGTTAGCGACAAGTTTCTGCCCATCTTTCAATTTTGTCATTTAGCTTCGGTTCATTACGGAAATTACAAATATACCAGTTAATTATTATCAATGCTTTAACTTTATGTATGAAAAGTGACTGAATTCATCATTTTTCTATTAAATACCGATAATTATTATCATTATCCACATTGTAAACCAGTTCAGCAATACTGTCGTCGTAGTCACTGGAATGAGAAAAAAAAACCTAAAAGTTTGACAAATCGTCGTTGTCGATTTAATTTGAATTTTGAAGTACAAATTAATGGGAGAAACAAAAATCATTCATTTTTGGATGAATGATCATTGAAATTTTATAAAAATTCTAAACAAAATTCAAATAAAAGAATCTCATCAAGTTTAGATTTTCCATTCAGAATTTGTTGTCATTGTTGTTTATGGTTTCATACATATGCATTTACTTTTCAAGTTTCTTCAATACAAATGAAATTTAAATATTTTAATGGATTGTCCTTTATTACTATTGCTTACAACAATGATGATGATCATCAACATTATCTTCAGAAAAGTTCATCTCTGATTACGAATTTGTATTCGTATTTTTCTTCTTCTTTTTTTTTGATTTCTCTACAATTCCAATCTGTCTTGAGAAAAAAAAAGATTTGATTTATCCATTTAAAAGGGGACTTTTTTCGTTTTTTTGAAATAAAAGTGCCGTAGAAATAAAAGTAATACACCCATCAACACACCATCACAATGTAATTTAATCGAATAGATGATTTTTTACCATTCATTCTGATAATCAGAATTTATCGGTTCACTAGAGTCATTTGTTCTCTTCGTTTCTTTCCATTTGGTTCTTTTATTGAGGATTTCCATTTTTTTACCCGATTTCACTTTTCGGCAGCAATATGAAGATATATCCATCTTAATTCACCATATAATATCATCATGAACAGAATTTTACACTATGAATTTGATTTCATTTTTATTTCATTACAAATGTGTGGAATAAAAAAATTGAATAAATATAGCAGCAAAGTGAATGAAAGAAAAAAAAATTTTATTTTCAAAAAAAGAACGAAAAAGAAGATGCGAAAATTGATTATGGTTTTCAATTGCAAATTCAAATTTTTTTTTATATACACCGACACGCACATTTCTATGAATTTGTTATGCTTGCTGGTTGTTTTTTTTCCAACAATTCCTCTTGTGATTTTATCTAAAAGTAAAATCAAAAAAAGAAAAAAACGAGTTGAAAATTTAAATTACACAAATGCCATATGAAATGGCATGAGAATGATAATTGATAAAATTATCAATTTATTCGTAGGTCTATATCAAAATTTTATTCTACATTTCCATATCATCATTTAAAAATTAGTATTGAAGATGAAGAAAAAGTCAAAAAAAAAAAGTATTTTCTGTAAGGCTCTTATTTCAAAAATGAAATGTTTTCATGTATTCATTTTGTTTTATATAACATGTGGGTGTCTGTTTCATCCAAATGAATTCCAATCATTTAAGCTTCTTTATATGTATGAAAAACAAGATAATATTGATCATTTGAAGAACCAAACATGAATGATACAATTTTTACATTTGATATTATGATGATGATGATGATGATGATGATAGAAAAGTACAACAACAAAACATGATTTGACATGACATTCTTCATCTTCATCATTTTTGTTTTATTTTTATCAAAAACAAAAATGGACCAATCATGTATTCGTTATAAAAGATTTGTCGTTTTATGTGTGTATATATGGGGAAAAAAAATTTGGACCAACCATCACACACACATACAAATAAACAACAAAAAGTGATGGTTGTTGTTGATGAAAAATGGAAGCATTTATTTCTATTTATTTTTTTCCCAATTTTTTTTTCTTTATGTCTATATCTCTTTTTTTTTGCTTGTTATATGTTTTTTTTCTTGGTTTGTTTCTCTCTCTCTAGATTCCAACAACTCGAATGATGTGTCACATCGTTTTTTTTACAGCAACAACACTACACCATTCATTTGGTTCGTTTATTTTTTTTCTTTCAATTTTCTCGTTTGTGTTTTTCTTCCAATGATTTTTGTTGTCGCTGCTGAAGAATGCTTGCTTGTTGTTGTTGTTGTTGTTGTTACATGTTTCAATAGTTGATTGTTATTCTGCCTGATTGCTTGGTTAGTGTCTGTTCTTTTTTCTCTTAGATTTTTTTTTTTTAGATTCGGTCCGTGTCGACAAAACCATCATTAGTTATTATCAGTAAATTGAAATTAAAATGAATAGCTTCTTGAATCAGATTAATTTCATCTTCAATTCGATTTTTCTGTTTTGTTAGTGCATGTGCTACTTTTTCGTTGTTATTGTTATATGTTACGAAACTGTGACAAAAGTGGCAAGAAGAATGGAAAAAAAAAATAAAATGAAATCCAACAAAACCAGACAGGCTACAAGAATGTTGACTAAGTTGATCCAGAGATCATGATTGGATTGAGTTTTTTTTTCATACAAAGTTACATTCTAAATTCTTCTTGGGTTTCGATTTTTTTTTGTTCACTGCTTCAAGAATTTCATTTTTTTTTGTTGTTGTTGTTGTTACTGTTCGTAATTTTCACAAATGATTATAGATTGTTAGAAAGCTTCGAATTGGATGGAGAAAAGATGATTTTCTGCTTTTGATGTTTTTTTTTTGTTGTCGTCCATCAACCAATTTATCTATTTGGGTTTTTTTTCAACTTGATTATTTGGCTTAAAAAGTCCGTTTCTGGGACTGATTTTTTTAATGGGTCAAACTTGATGGCCATTTTTTTGTTTAGCTAAATGAAATGGTCATTTATGCCAAAAAAGACGTATGATAAATTGGTGTTGTTCTGTTGTTGTTGTTGTTGTCATAGAAAAAATCGAAAAGTTTTTTCTTACAAACACAGATGCTTCTAGCGAACATATGTTATGTTAAGTTTTTTTTTATTGTTTCAAGTTTATTAAGTTTCATTACAATCATTGATATGATATGATTTTATCATTATCATCATCATCATATGGGAAATATTATCATCATCATTATATCGCATATCTATAGATTTTCATTTCAAAAAGTTTATTTGTTTGTTTTGATCGGTTATTATTTAGCTTCAAGGTCAGTGGCGATCGCCCTTAGGGCTCTTGGATTGGTTGACTGTTCAAGTTCAAAAAATTCTAATGATTTCAAAAAAAACATGCTAGAAACTTTTCAGAATAATTCTTTTTTTTTGAAGAAAGTTTTCGGTATTCATAAGAGTATTCTTTTCGTTTTGTTGTTAATTTAACTTCGAAAATAATGAATGAGTCATGATGAGTCATGATAAGTCATCATTGATGACCACATCCGATACAAAAATGCTTATGATTTTATCGCTCGATTTTTTTTTTTTGAGTAATTTGATGATCTTTGAACCGTTAAAAAAAACCGGACTTCTGGTATAAGTTTTCATTTTTGAAAAAGTTCCATCATTTACTTTTTATTCCAGAGAAAATGTTGAAACTCTTGATTTATATGATTTCTTTTTAATTTTTTTTTTTACTTTTTTGTCTAGTTTTGTTCGTTTACTGATTCATTCAAAGTGCGAAAAAAAAATCTTTCACTTTTTCATCGATCGAATTGGATTTTAATTGGAATTGGATCAAAGCGACAATCCTTGGACAATGATACGATTAAGGCAAGAAACAAATTACCCACGATTATTGTATTTTTATTATTGTATAATTCGTCTATGAAAACATTACCAAATCCAATCATGTAATTGTGATGTTGATGTTAATCGATTCATTGGCAACAAATCATATTTCCGTTATAAACCACAAAAATTCTTATGCTCATCACATCAACAATCTTCGAACGGACATATAAGAATCAAAGCAATAATATGTTATTTCATGATCAATATCATATTGCTGTGGTTATCATTAGTGATAATGATGATTATATTCATTATTTTAAAAATATCTACATTTTTGCTGTCAGACAACAAACAACAAAAATTTAGAATTCATCAACATCATCATAATCATCTTCATTATAGATAATAATGAAACAAGAAGCAAAAACAGTAACAATTCGGCTCAAATATTCTTTATGGACATTACCATCGACATTATCAATGTCGTTATTTTTTCGTAATAATAAAGTGCCTTATAGACAACCAATCAAAGATCACGGCATTATTGATGCTTATATTCGCTATCAACATCATCAACAATACCGAGACCAGAAAATAGCAAAAAAGATGAAGAAAAATTTGTCCGGTGACCAAATGAAACAACAACAACAACAACAAGAACATCGACAAATAACGAAAAACGTAAAAGAATCGAACAAAGTGCTTTTTTCTGTTCATTTTGACCGATCTTTATTGACAAGACGGCTATTGAATGTTGTTGTGGTCATTGTTATTATTTTGTCATCATTTTTACCGAATGTCATTTTTGTTATTGTTGTTCTAGCTTTTTTTACAATGATTATGTCCGGCTTGTTATCGTTGTTAACAACAACAAAACACCATAAACAACAACAGCAACAAAATGATTATTTTCAACACATTCAATACCTTAATCATTGTGATGGTGATACATCTATAATGTCCAAATGGAATCTTGATGTTGTCGATAATGATGGTGATTGTAGACATCTAGCAATTTTCAGTTACCTTGTCGAACCAAAAAAATGTCATTGTATTTGGATATTATTTCATCAAATTATAAATAATTATGTTCAGTGTTTTGTAAGATTTTCATCAAAAATCAACACTTTATTAGTGAATCATCAACAATTTAAGTGTATGATTGTTATTTTTTTAATCATCAACAATTTAACATCATTAGCATTTGCTCAATTCATCAATGGTGCTCATCGACGTTTTTACAACCATCATCTTCATCGTGATGATAATAATAATGGCCATTTTAGATCATTGATTTCATCATCATCATCATCATCTTTTAATCCTTTAAATTCGGATTATATGTACGATTTATTTCCACAAAATAATGATCAATCAGATAATATTGATGAAGACGATGACGATCAAACAGGTTAGTTTTTTCAAATAAATAAATTTTAATTAAAATAAATTTTTAATCTTTGTTTTAAAAAAATAGGTAATGAGGAAAAATCGTTAATTATATTGTAGTTTCCATAAATGTGCATGAATGTTTTTGGTCTTCTGAATACACACATGGACATCATTATTCATTTTGAATCGATGTCATTATATACATTGGTTATCATGCATCACATGACAACATTGAAAGATTCTTTTTTTTCGGTTTCTTGATGAAAAATGAACATCGATAACATTATCACTATCAAAATGGGTTGTGATTATAGGTCAAATTAGATTTTATCATCATCAACGATGATAATGATAATAATCACAAAAAGACTCGTATGGAAAGGTTCATTAGTTATTTTTAAACAAAACAAAAAAACTAATGATCAGTATGTTGGACCGAATATATACTGATGAATGACATATACTCTGTCGAATAGTGAACTAACTGAATTCTGTTCGATCCACCAACACAATTCATATATTTGTTTGTGTTTCATTCATCTTTGATTTTCTCCCATCATGATCATCAAATTCATATTCAGAACTATTCATTCATTCATTCATCTTGAATAGGCTCATTTGTTCAATAATCGGTTTCGTTACATCAAATTATTTTCATAGCTACATTGATTTAAGCAAAACGAAAAGAGAAAAAATTCAAATAAACCAAAAAGAAAAATGTCATCAACGGACGCCTCACTCTTTGTAGAATATAGAAACTTTTTCCTTTCTATTCTCTAAACGCCGTTCGTCTGTTCATTCATTCATTTGTTCTGTTATGTTCGGTTGTTGGTCGACACAATCAATCATAATTTTTGACTGGTTCTTTTCTTTCGTGTTTTGGTTCATTTGTTGTCGATCCATCGGCCCTATGTTTGTGTGTGTGTGTGTTGTCATTGTCATCATCATCATCATCGTTAGCGGCATTTTTTCGGATATTTCGGGATGTTTTTTTTCTACTTTTATTTTTTTGTTATTTTCAACACACAACACTAATTGATTTATTACGACAAACACACACACACACACACACACTGTTGTCTTCACATATATTTAGTCTAGCCGGATTTTTTTGTGTTCATCAAGCTTCGAGGTTTTTTTTCATCACAACTACCATCATCATCATAATCATCCGAATTTCGTTTGTCGGTAGTTGGCAACAAAATAGTCCCTTCTAGTTTTTCTTGATTATTGTGTTGAATAATCCCAATCATAATATTGGGATGAAGATTTCAATACGATATGGCTATCTTTTATGAATTCTTGTGAAACTAAAATTCCCATTTCTTTCTGTCTCTCTGGGGAATCTTCGCTTTCCATCTTATTCTGAGACTATTTTATTTTTTAAATTTGTTGCCATCACATAATTATTTACACCGACAATCATTTTTTTTTTTTTTTTTGGTTTAAACTTCCGTTCACGAATTTGTATCTTTCTCTCTTAGGTTTCAAAGTTCATAATGGTCGACAAATATTTATAATGAACATGCGTATTTGAAAATCTTGATAAAGTATCATTGACATCATAGGCCTCGAGTGTTTTTGCAAATTCATTTTTCCATTATGTTTTTTTTTGTCATCATTTGTCAAAAATTTGATATGATTCGATCGAAAATTATGTCTGGTAGACCTTGATGGTTGATTCCATAATCATGAATTTGTTATTGTTGTTGTTGTGCGAAGACTGTCTATCTCCATTGGACATCTGTCATTGAATGAAATTTGACAAGCTTCTCAATATTCTCAATATGCCTGATTTAATACAATGGACTGATTGTACTTGCTTATTATCTAACTTGATTCTATCATATTTTACCAATGGCAATGATGATGATGATGATGATGATGAGATAAAATTATTATTATGAATTGGTAAATCAAATCTAAAAATATATTTGGTTGAGAAAAACAAAATCAAAAAAAAACGGAATATGGTTCTTATGAATCTTTTTTTTCGAACCAAAAAAAAACATGAAATACGAATCAATGATTTTATCACATTAATTCTAAATCTCTATATTAACAAGCGTCATAATGAATCGGATCATCATCATTATTATTGAAGATTTGGAATTAATGTGATCGATTCTTTGATTCTTTGATTCCTATATACAGTAATCGAACCAATATCACCATTCGATGATGGTGGATGGAATTCCAGCTTGTTTTCGTTTCAATAATGTGAAAATTCTTTTTAATTTTTATCAGGAACTAAATATCTGAATGTTATTTTTTTCACGGATGATTTTTTTCCAAATTTGATTTTGTTTATTTGTCATTTGTCGTTATTGTTGTTGTTATTTAATTTAATTGGAATCAAATTTAGATTTTTTGTGTTTTTTTTCCAATTTTGTTTGTTGACATTGATTGGTTTGTGTGTGTGTGTGTCACCAATTAATAGTATCCAAACAAACCAAAAAACAAAATTTAAAATAATTTCAACAATTTCGAAATACAAACACAACCACAAATAATAGGTTTCATCGAAACAAAAAACTATTATATCATCGACGAAACAAAGTGAAAAATCCAGATATTATTGTCATGACCGCAGACGAAAAAAAAAGAATCCAGAAACGACCATTTTGTATTCAGTAAATCTCAGTTTATGTCATATATTGATTCTATGTTCCAGTGTTTTCATCATCATCATCAAGAAAAATAAAACAAAAACAAAAAAAAATATTAATGGCCGATTGATGATGGAAATCGAATAACCATCGCTGATTTCCCTTTTCAAAAAAAAACCAATCAACCATCGAACAATCCTACAATTGTGTTTATACTCATCTATCCTTTTATTTTTTTTTTTTTTCTTTTCTTTCATTCTCATTTTTATTCTCATCATCAGTTTGGTTTTCTTTTTCTCGGCTTTTACGGTTATCGAATTGATGTTGGCAGTATTCGCTTACTTGGAAAGTGCTAACACTTTGTTCCATTTTTTGGATTTTTGTTGTCATTGTTTTTTTTTTTTGTCTCCATTTTGTTCTCATGTTCGTTTTGTTTTGTTTTTTCGACTCATTGACTTTGACTTTCAATAATCATCATTATTATTATTGTATATATTGGAAATGGAATTTATCATTCCGTTGTTCTGGTTATCGTTGTTGTTGTTGTTGTTGTTGTTTTTGTTTTTGATAGTTTTGATTGTCATTTCATTTTTTTTGTGTTTGTCACTTGGTTTTCTTGATTTTTGATCATCATCATCTTCAATGATTCGATTTCCTTTTGAATCGTTTTTTTTTGGTTTTGTTTTGATTCGTCAACAACTATGGATCATCTGGCTGGAATTTTGATTTTGATTTTTTTTACTTCAAACAATAATAAAAATTGGATCCATTACTCAACGTGGACACTGCTGAACCAATCATCACATGTTTCAATATTTTAAAAGTATAACCAATCCGAATTCGTGTAATCTGAATTCCAATCAAACTTCAATTGTGAAGAATTTTCGTCACTTCTGTGCCCAATATATATATTCGTTGCCGTTGTTGTTGTTTAGATGATCGTACTAGAAGAATTTCTTTAAAAAAGAAAAATTAGATGAAAAAAAGAAAGTGGAAATCGAAGAAAAAAAACAGTCATCACGATTGCAATGAAGACACACCATTTCTCATGCTGTTGTCGATTCATATCATCTATAGAATGATAGGAACCATATATACTGAAGATACGGCTAAAACACGAAAACAAATCACACACACACACACACACAGTATTCACAAGCATTTTTATTCATTTTTTCTTCTTTTTTTCTCACAAATTTTTATGCAACATGATAAATTGACAAGTGAAAATTTTTTGACATCAAACCCATCGTTTGTTTAACTGTATCACTAGTTTCAGGACTAGATTTGGTACAAATTTAAATATGGGAAGGGCACAAATCAAAAAAAAAAAAAAAAAAATACAATCCTTAACCGAAAAGTATAAAGCGTAGAAAAAAATGTTAAGATCAAAATATCTTGAGATGAATTTTTCTTTGAATAATCTTGCCCTTATGATATTGTTATAACAATTCCTGACCGTTTGTAGTGTTTTTTTTTTTTTTTTTTTGATAAAGTCACCCTCATTGTTGTTCTCTTTTATATTACATGACCATACGATGATTGTATATATAAGAATGAATGAATGAATGAACCGGAATAGCAAGAAAAAAAACTTGTATATGCATATAAATGATATGTCTTGAGAAAAAAAAAATTACATATTACCATATCCGAAGAATAATTCTGGTTGTTCTTTTTGTTTTTATTTTTTATTTTATTTTTTTTTTGCTGATGCTTTCTTTCTTCATCATTCATTCTACATTCTTGTTGTCGAATGAAAATGTTTTGTTTTTTTTTTTTATTATCAAAAACAAAACAAAAAAAAAATAGTCTAAATCGTTGATTTTTTGCTGTATGTTAGCATACGAATCGTTGTATTATTTCATTATTACATAACCAGAGAGACATATACAAAATGATGATGATAATAATAGTGATTCATGTGAAAAAATTTTCTACTTTCGACATAGTTTATGAATATTCTAATCTTGTTTTATTTTTTTCACATTCGTTTGTGTGTGTTGTGTTTGTGCAAGTGTGAAATGATTTTTGAATCGTTTTTTCGTGTTTTTTTTTTTTTGAATGAAAAAATTCAAATAAACAAATAAAACAAAACAAAACAAAAAAAAGAAACAACACCCGGCATTTTTCACAAGTTTTTGTTTTGTTTTATTTTTCATTTTCAGTTTTTTTAAATTCTTGTTTTTGTTGTATGTGTTGTTACACCATCAATTTTCATGTTGATTATCATGTATTGCAAATGATAACAATAGCATCAATTTTCAACAATAAAAATAAATTCTTAATCTTAATCGTTTCTTTTTTTCTTTTTCTTTTTTTTTATTCAAATTCAACGAAAAAAAAGCATATCCAACAATACGAGCTTTAGTGGGAAAAAGTGTTGGACTTCCATGTAATATTTCACAATCGATACGTGAAGGAAATTCCATCAAACTAGTATTATGGTATAAGAATAATATACTTGGTTCACCAATCTATAGTGTTGATGCTCGTGATACACAAAATCTTAGTATAGCAAGACATTTTCTTGCCTCTTCATATCAACAACGTGCTTCATTTGAAATGAATCTTGCAACTAGAACAGCATCGTTGATTATTAATCCGGTTGAAGGTGATGATGATGGCCATTATATTTGTCGTGTTGATTATCGTTGGACACGTACGACTATCAGTAATGTACGGCTTGAAGTGATCGGTAAGTTGTTCAAATTCATTTCTATTTATTCAAATTTTCACTTAATGCTGAGAATGATTTAAAAATCTTTCAGATTTTTGTTTTGTTCTGTTAACATTTATTGAATTAAGTTAACTATAATCCTGTATAATACTTTCTTTCTTTTTTTTTGATCATTTCATGATAAAAATGGATTAAATTTTCATCCATAATATTTAGATGAAATCTAAACACAGGTCGTATGTTGATCATTCGTATGAAATAAACCTGAAAATAAAGCAAATTCCAACTAAAATAAAACCTCAACCATTAGGGTGTTGTGTTTGTTGAATAATGAGAAATTCACTACTGGCTTGCCTAGTAATTTATTTCTCCATTTATCCAGTGCTTAACGTGTAGGAGTGAATCTCTCTATTTTTTTTTTTTTTTTTGGTTTTACCGTTAAAACCAATGACTACAACTTTTTGGTACATATTCATAAAGTCTTTGAGTCAATTTACCCGGAATAAAAAAAAATTACCAAACTTTTTTTGTTCACTAGCAAGACAAATATACTTTTAATATTTTATTATACATGAATATTTTTCTTGTTTTTTTTGTTTTGTTTTTACAGTAGTATAGCCTTTTTTATGCAAGCACCGTAAACGATGCGCTCGTCAAATACCATTAATCATAAATCTCTGAAACCTTTATGTTGGCAGGCCCTACGTTTGTATTGTTTCAACACATTTCAATACAGGAAGGATATAAATAGTGCCTTATTTTTCATGTCTTATCTCTTGTTCAAAGGTGCAAATGTTTTATATGAAATCGTAGATTTTTTTTTCGTTGTGTATACAATCAAACATTTGAATATATTTTGTTTGCATCATTTTGTGAATGTGGTAACAATATGAGCTGCCAAACTTTTACAGTGAAAGTATTTGCGCAATTGTTTGATGCATTGATGAGATATGCAAGTAACTGTCATTATCATTTAGTACAATTAGGATTATCTATACAAAATTTTATTTCTTATTACCCAAAATCATATGGATATAAATAGAAACAGAAAAAAAATCATTAGCATATCTACATGTCTTTTATACTCACTTTTGTCTTGCTAAAAAAAGGTTTTTAATGAATTTTTCCATGTTATTCATCATTTTCAATTCTATTAGATTTATCTAGAATCGTTTTTGTGCGTGGTCAGAATTTCTTCTGAATGATTCTTTTAATAGTTTTTTTTATACTTCAATAGTTCATACATTCTCTTTCTTTCATTAGTGATGAATGGTTTTTTGCTTTCCTTATGTTGAGACATTTTCTACAACAATTCGATGCGGTTAGGCAATCGATCAAAAGTTTCATTATTATTTAATCAATAATTTTCAGTTTTTTTTCAATACTTGTACAAAATTTTTTTTTTATTTTTATTGTGGTTTCATTCATAATATCTGTATGGATGGTAACATTTTGATTTATTAAAATGTTTTGTTATGTATTCTTTACAAGTTTTTGTTGTTGTTGTTGGATATTAATGTTTTCATGATTGTTATTATTGTATTTTCATTTCAATTCTTATTCTTTTTCAATGTTTAATGATTGAAGAAGAATAAAAAACAATTCTATTTTTAATGTTAAAATGAAATTTACTTTATTTTTTTGAGTAAATATAATTTTCTTTAACTTGAAATGAAAACGTGTCGAGAAACGTTAATTTTCCTTAGATTTTTTTTTTATTATTATTGCTGTTGTTGTTGTTGTTGTTAAGAGTTTTTGATGTTCAAATGGTAATAATAATCGTTACAATTTTTTGTTTGTTTGCTGTAAAAATATGGTGGTCAATAAATCTTTTTGTTTTGTTTCACTCATCATCATCATTATCAAAGTATAAATTTTCAGGCCAAACAGAATTGATTCTCGGTAAATGTGTGTGTGTGTGTGTGTGTGTGTGTGTATTGTTTTCGTGTAACCTTTATTTTAATGATAATACAATTTGCCAGAATCTTTTCCGTTTCTTTTTCTTTTCGGTTGGTATCATCAAAACAAAAAAAAAAAAATGATATACGAAAACAATCATATGAAAACATTCATGCTTACATGTAGAGAAAAAAAAACAGGGAATAGTAGTAGAATCCATAATTGATATTTGACTTATGGGTTAATTCTCAAATGGTACTATCAATTAGGAAAAGATTTCTTTCAACGTTATTCATAATGTTTTTAGTTTTATTTATTTCTATATCAATATATTTGAACCACAATACAATTCTCAATTATTATTATAATTATGATGATGATGAATGATGATGATGCTATATGTTCAGAGTGTAAATAAATCCTATTTTCATCCGATGGGAATTACTATACTTAAAACCATTTCTAGATTTAAGCTATTAGAATTACAACAACAATATAAGATCGTTTTGTCTTGCTTGTGGAATTATAAGTGAAAATAATAAATAAATGTTATTAATAAGCTATGAATCATGTAATTGTAATCATATATATATTTTTTCCTGATCAATATTGCTGAAAAACTAATAATAATTGGAAATTGATTCTTGACCATCACACACACACATGTCCATTGAGAAAAACCAATTCTTTGTCATTATCTACTAAAATGAGCGATTCTAATTTATTCCATATTTTAGTTAGTGTCTATGTTTTCTTAGTCATATGCATGCATTAGAAAAAATCCAACTATGACAGCTTGAATTAATTCGAAAATAACTTTTAATAAAGCATTGTTTTGTGTTTTTTTAGTGGTGGAAATTTTTTTTTTTATTCCCACTGCTACGGCTGCTACCGATTCAATGGAATTTCCGAAAAAATGAACTGAATTTTAAATGAGAATCAATTAAAAGGAATTCTTTCGACTATCAGAAGTTTAGCCTTACAATAATGGATTGAATGATTGCAAGAATATTCGAATCCTTTCAATATGAAATCCCTGCATTCCTATTCCTATTTTGCTAATGATAATCATTGTTCATTGCTTTGCTACTATTTATGAAGGAATCAAAAAAGCGAGGTGAACATAATCTATGTTCAAGTTTTAATGTACACCATCAAATTTAAATACAAAAACGATAATAAATCATTAAATTCTACGTTAAAATTGAAAGCATCAATTGTGAAAGTTTCAAAGTTTAATATGTTCTATTCTTTATTATGCTAAATTAATTGTTAATTTTTTCTAATTTTTATCGTCTTCTTTTTTCTTATTTGTTTTTTCTTTACAGTTCCACCATATATGATACAGATCGTTCAAAGTTATCAATATCAACCAGAATCAATATCAATGTTGTCATCCAAAATGGGCGTTGGTCAACATGGAATGTATTTTCCAAAGAAAACAAACGTAACAATTGATTTAAATCGAAAAAGTTTCGAAAGAAACTTTTATTACAATGTTAGATCTACATCCCCATTCACATCATCAACTTACAACGACAACAACAACAAAAACGCCAATGAATCACCAACCCAATCATCATCTTCAATGAGACAATCCGATAGTGATGCAAATTCTGGTATACCAACATCACCAACAACAATGATAAATGATGTGACCATCATAAGACAACCAGAATCAAGCACCTTAACGCTTAACTGTGATTCGATCGGAGGTTTGTAATCTATTTGTACAGTTTGAATATTTTGAGTTTCCATTTGGAACTTTTTTATATTATAACCAAAGAATCATCATCGTACTTTATTTGGTTTTTTTTCCAAACACTGTTTGAGTTTATTTGTATATGTGTTTAGAATAGAAAATCAGAAGAGGATTTGCTTGTAATGGGAAATGGAATCAATTTTTTTTTGAAAGAATATATTTATTCATTAAAAAAAATAGCATGGTAATAGTTGAATATATTTCATCGTATATGATAATCGTCTATGAAATTTTTGTGGTTATCATTGCATAGCAATTCATATATTACAAATAATCTTTTTCATCTTTTTTTTGTATATGATTCATAATGATTTGTTTCGATTTATGATTTAGTTGTCGCTTTATAACCGCACTATAGTCTATAGAACACATTGACCATTTCAATATTCATGTCATCTCTTTGCATGCATTCAAGTTTATTCTCTCTCTGTGTGTGTGTGTGTGTGTGTGTATTTTTTTATCACGCTGAAAATATTTTGTATTTGTAGTTATTTTTTTCGAGCATAAATTTTTAATCGAAAAAAAAGAATATTTTGCCATTTTGTATCCAGATTTTCTATTGCATTTATTTATTTATTTTATTTTGTTGTTTTTTCTCTTTTTTTTTCATTGGTTTTTTTCGCCTGTATCGTGAATCAATAATGCTGATGATGCTGAAAACAAAAATATAAAATTTGGATTCGGAACAAAAAAAACCACCACATAAATGTAAACACATTTGTCAATAACAAACAGGCAAACCAATGTCAATGATAAAATGGTATCGTTTGGCACAATTTGAAAATGCCAATCTAACCGATGCTCAACTTTATACGCTTCTACAATCATCCGGTATTTAATTTTTTTTTCTATTAGTAACAAAAAAAAAATTTAAAAACACTATATGTGTGTGATCAAAAAAGTGTATTCCAATTTAGATTTTGAACATGAACATTTAGCCATTTTAACACACACATATTTGTGCTCATTTCTTTGACTAATTTATTCTCTTTCGACTTTTTATTTTGTTGTTGTTGTTTTTTTCATTTGGAACAATGACAACAACACTGATGGGGACTCCCTACTGAACAAATAATAATAATAATAATAATAATGTTTGAAAACATAAAATAACAACCAATTTGTTAATGAAAATGCCAGAAGAAAAAAGTATGCAACTAATCGATGATAGTTACTATCCAATGTTGTTGGCAGCATTACCATCAAACGTACCTAGATTATTGTTTACTAATAATCTGAATTTAACATCAAAAAATTCTGTTGGAACAATGCAAATGACTTTAAATTCTGCTGCTGCTGCTGCTGTTGGAATGTCAACGATGAACAAAATGAATAAAAATCCAATTCGATCAAATCATTCGATAACAACAACAACAACAAAAATGAAAGATTCGTCCACAATGATTATGGAACCATTGTTTTTGAAAACAATAGTAGTGCTATAATGAAAATTCCTATCGTACGTAATGAGCTTCATATTGGCAAGATTTCAATCGACAATCATGGCCAACTATATCTTTGTAAGACGATCAATACAAATCTTACTCGATCCATTGATATTATTGTTCGATTGGAAGTTTTTGGTGAGTATTTTTTTTTTATTTCTAATATTCTCGTCGGGTTATTTTTGGCACGCCACATCATAATTTAAAATTTTTGTTGATGTGATTCATTTTCATTATTGTTCAATTTTTTATCATAGGATAAATAGGAAAAGATTCCATTTATTCAATATTATTATTATTTGTTTTATTTTCTTTACACATTTGTTTGACTTTATTATATATCTAATAGCTGGTCCAAAATCGGTACAAATAGAACAACGATTGCCTGCACAGGATGGACATTTTCATAGTGTTAATAGTGATAATTCAGATAACCATCCGGATATGACCATTAGCAATAATAATCGTACATGGCATTCAATCGAACTACTCGATCACTATCTACATCGTCATGGTTCGTTGACGGAATCCATGAAGATAGCCTCATCATCATCATCATCATCATCAACCGCTGAAACAGCAGCATCATCTTCATCATCAGTAACCAATAATAATCCATGGACACACGCAAAAAAATCATTTCGTTTACGTTCTGGTTTTGAATTCGATTTCACATGCCAAACAAATGGATCATTACCTAATGCTCAAATATTCTGGTACCTACGAGATATACATACAAATCATCTTCGTAATATTACAGAATTCAGGTTAGTTTATAGTCAATTTTTTTCAATTTTTTTTTGTTTTCAAAAACCATAAAAAAGCTTTAAGATGTAATGGTGATGGCAAATAAATCACCATTCTCAACTTTTACTGAATTTTGCTGATTATTTTTTTTTATTTTTTCTCTTGATTTCAATTTGTCTGTCGGCTTACATTGGTGGTACCAAAATATTAGTAACGTGTTCCAGAATGGTCATAATACATTGAGCTATCTACGTATAGTGCCTCAATACACCGATAACAAAGCCAACTTGATTTGTCAAGCATACAATCCGGCCATGTTACATGAACTAATATTAAACTTGAAACTATGGTCAAATCAAACGACAATGTCCGAATCATCATCATTATCGTCCGTACAGATGGAATCGTCCGCGAATCGGCCCAACTTTTCATCGACAATTTCATCATCATCTTCATTGCCTTCAATTTCGTTATCATCATCTTCTTCAGAGAATGATGATGACGGTCTCTTAAATCAGGACTATTTGAATTCCATTATAACAAATCTAATGATACACTATGACGAAGAAGAAGAACAACAACAACAATATTTTCATCATCATCATCATCAACAACAACAACAACAACAACAATTTGCTACATCAAGTAAAAATCTTTTAAAACAATCATCGTACTACTTGAAACATTACCCATTTCAACTCTTTACTTCCGTTTATCTTGATGTTAATTGTAAGTTGATATTGTATACAACAAACATTTTTCAACACTTATTTATATAGATAAGATCACTTGTTTTTTCGTTGTAACGAAACATGCGACTCCATTTTTGTCTGTTTATAATGGTAGTAGTAAGAATAGAAATGTAAATATAAGATAAGAAATAATAACAGCAACCATGATGATGATGATGATTAATCCTTTTGTTGTTGTTGTTGTGTTGATGTTAGTAGCCAAAGATGTTAGCCTAAAGAAGATCAAAAAAAAAAAGAACAAAAAGGTCATTTGTTGTATTATCATCAACGGTATATATATTCTTAGTATATGAATAATACATACATAGATATAGTTCCAGTAAAGGTCTATATGAATTTTCAGATCTTATAGTAAATTCTTATACGATGATAATGAAAAACGACAATACATTTGAATGCAATTAATTAAACCCTTAATAATCATGCTTATGCTTTAATGTGTGTTATTATATACATATGAAATAAAATGCTGAGGGAATCATCATCATCATCATCATTGTACATAATGATAATAGTTGATGAAATGGTCTGGTTCAAAGAACAAAGTCAAATGCAAAGAAAATGATAAATATTCTCTTGAGATGTTTGCCGAATGAACGAATTCCATTCACGATTATTATTGTCATTATGTTTTCAATATATATGAACGTTTGTGATCTGTGTCTTTCTGTCGATGTTTAACTGTATTGTAATTGAACAAAATGAACGAGAAGAAACCCTGAGAAAAAAAAATTGAGTATTTTTTTTTTGGTTCTAAAATAATGCTATTCAATTTTTCTTTCTTTTGAATGTTTTAGTTTTTTTCCTTTTTGCATTGGCTATAAAATCTTTGAAAAAATAGGTGTTTTTTGTACACACAACAATATTTTTATTAAAAGAATGAATGCCAATATTCTGTGAATGATCTAAGTATAGACACCTAGGATGACAACGACGATGACTGATAATTATTTGATTTAAATGATGACTTCATATGCCAGGATGATAATTGCCGATGTTTAGGGAACGAACCACGAAAACGATCTATCCAACGTATCATGTTCTTGATTGACGAAAAAAGATCCAAAAAATTAATAAAAATTGTTTCCATTCCTTTCTTGATGACATAGACGGATACATGCGGATGTGATTCATTCAGGAAATTTGTTGATCGAAAGATCCGGGGTTTTCGATGTAAGAATTTTGAAGCAGAAATAAAAAGGATAAACGTATCAGCCAGATTCAAATTATCAGAAATAAAGAAGGCAGGAATTCGACAATCGGAAATTAGCTGAGGAATACGACGCAACTTTATACCAAAATGACATTCAAAACGATTTGATGATGCGTTTAATCGATACAGAATTGTTTTTAAAACCAAGAAAATTCCAATTGATAGGATAGCTTGCGATTGCGACAAAATTTTACCAATCTGACCACATCATGTCAAGATTTCAATCGACAATCATGGCCAACTATATCTTTGTAAGACGATCAATACAAATCTTACTCGATCCATTGATATTATTGTTCGATTGGAAGTTTTTGGTGAGTATTTTTTTTTTTTCTAATATTCTCGTCGGGTTATTTTTGGCACGCCACATCATAATTTAAAATTTTTGTTGATGTGATTCATTTTCATTATTGTTCAATTTTTTTTATCATAGGATAAATAGGAAAAGATTCCATTTATTCAATATTATTATTATTTGTTTTATTTTCTTTACACATTTGTTTGACTTTATTATATATCTAATAGCTGGTCCAAAATCGGTACAAATAGAACAACGATTGCCTGCACAGGATGGACATTTTCATAGTGTTAATAGTGATAATTCAGATAACCATCCGGATATGACCATTAGCAATAATAATCGTACATGGCATTCAATCGAACTACTCGATCACTATCTACATCGTCATGGTTCGTTGACGGAATCCATGAAGATAGCCTCATCATCATCATCATCATCAACGGCTGAAACAGCAGCATCATCTTCATCATCAGTAACCAATAATAATCCATGGACACACGCAAAAAAATCATTTCGTTTACGTTCTGGTTTTGAATTCGATTTCACATGCCAAACAAATGGATCATTACCTGATGCTCAAATATTCTGGTACCTACGAGATATACATACAAATCATCTTCGTAATATTACAGAATTCAGGTTAGTTTATAGTCAATTTTTTCAATTTTTTTTTTGTTTTCAAAAACCATAAAAAAGCTTTAAGATGTAATGGTGATGGCAAATAAATCACCATTCTCAACTTTTACTGAATTTTGCTGATTATTTTTTTTTTTTTTTCTCTTGATTTCAATTTGTCTGTCGGCTTACATTGGTGGTACCAAAATATTAGTAACATGTTCCAGAATGGTCATAATACATTGAGCTATCTACGTATAGTGCCTCAATACACCGATAACAAAGCCAACTTGATTTGTCAAGCATACAATCCAGCCATGTTACATGAACTAATATTAAACTTGAAACTATGGTCAAATCAAACGACAATGTCCGAATCATCATCATTATCGTCCGTACAGATGGAATCGTCCGCGAATCGGCCCAACTTTTCATCGACAATTTCATCATCATCTTCATTGCCTTCAATTTCGTTATCATCATCTTCTTCAGAGAATGATGATGACGGTCTCTTAAATCAGGACTATTTGAATTCCATTATAACAAATCTAATGATACACTATGACGAAGAAGAAGAACAACAACAACAATATTTTCATCATCATCATCATCAACAACAACAACAACAACAACAACAATTTGCTACATCAAGTAAAAATCTTTTAAAACAATCATCGTACTACTTGAAACATTACCCATTTCAACTCTTTACTTCCGTTTATCTTGATGTTAATTGTAAGTTGATATTGTATACAACAAACATTTTTCAACACTTATTTATATAGATAAGATCACTTGTTTTTTCATTGTAACGAAACATGCGACTCCATTTTTGTCTGTTTATAATGGTAGTAGTAAGAATAGAAATGTAAATATAAGATAAGAAATAATAACAGCAACCATGATGATGATGATGATTTAATCCTTTTGTTGTTGTTGTTGTGTTGATGTTAGTAGCCAAAGATGTTAGCCTAAAGAAGATCAAAAAAAAAAGAACAAAAAGGTCATTTGTTGTATTATCATCAACGGTATATATATTCTTAGTATATGAATAATACATACATAGATAGTTCCAGTAAAGGTCTATATGAATTTTCAGATCTTATAGTAAATTCTTATACGATGATAATGAAAAACGACAATACATTTGAATGCAATTAATTAAACCCTTAATAATCATGCTTATGCTTTAATGTGTGTTATTATATACATATGAAATAAAATGCTGAGGGAATCATCATCATGATTGTACATAATGATAATAGTTGATGAAATGGTCTGGTTCAAAGAACAAAGTCAAATGCAAAGAAAATGATAAATATTCTCTTGAGATGTTTGCCGAATGAACATTCCATTCACGATTATTATTGTCATTATGTTTTCAATATATATGAACGTTTGTGATCTGTGTCTTTCTGTCGATGTTTAACTGTATTGTAATTGAACAAAATGAACGAGAAGAAACCCTGAGAAAAAAAATTGAGTACTTTTTTTTGGTTCTAAAATAATGATATTCAATTTTTCTTTCTTTTGAATGTTTTAGTTTTTTTTCATTGGCTATAAAATCTTTGAAAAATAGGTGTTTTGTACACACAACAACAATATTTATTAAAAGAATGAATGCCAATATTCTGTGAATGATCTAAGTATAGACACCTATATTGAAGAATATTTCTCTCCTGCAAAATGCAATAAAATATGTGCAACGATTCTTTTAAAAACAAAACGAAAAGAAAAAATCGCAGACTAAACGCAAATATTATCTAGTCGTGAATTTTCGTATTTCTCTTTTGTGCTCATATTTTTCAATTCCTCGGAAAAAATTGAATCTTCAAATTTTACAACTTTGAATGTATTTGTGATGTAATGGATGTGCATATAAATTTTTTATGTACAAACACACACACACACATACACACAATTCTACGCTGGTCCAAGCAAAAGTTTTCTCATCTCCACAAATACTTTCCATACTAACTTGGCCTAGAACACACATAGATCTTCTAATACCTACATACCTAGCTTGCGAATGAAAATTTTTTTTTCCAATTTTACCATTGTTTTTGATGGCTGTATTATATATATAATTTAATTACTTTAAGTGCCAATTTTGTTAATGTTGAAAACATTATGTTTTGGTTGCTTTGTTTGGACCATAATAACATAAATAAATATAAATATAAAAATAACATATTTTCGATTTAGTAAAACATTCAATTGACTATTAACTTATTGTCATCCTCGTAATTGTGGCTGACTTTGTTATATACTGATATTAATAAATCTTTGATTTTGTTCATTATTATTATTCTCATGACTTATCGATGATATTTTTGATTCAATTTCTTTCTTTTAAATTTTTTGACCTTTTCATGAATAGACAAGCCAATCGTATTGATTAAAGTTTTAAGTGGTGAACAAATGTATCAAGAGGTATCATCATCATCATCATCCAATTCTAACATAAATAATAATTATGGTTATAATACAAACGTATCCTCATCTAATATTGGTAATAATGGCGAAAATCAACAAAAATCATATTCAAATCATAGTGATCAGCCAACAACAACCACTACTACAATGATGGAACATTATTATCGATTCAATGAAATGTCGGAAATATTTTTCAATTGTTCAATAAATTCGAATCCTGATGCACATCGTATTGAATGGTTTATGAATGAAAAATTGATTCATACCGATATACCGAAAGGTAAAAATTTCATTTTATGTTTATTCATCGTTTTCTTGTCCAAAATAATACATTGTCCAGAATCCAATTCGATCTATATCAATTGATTTGAAAAGCTTTTCAAAAGCCAATCGAAATCAAAAAGTTTTTTTTCTCTTTTTAATCTTATTCTTTTTTTCTCGCTATTTTATACAGAACGATAAAAAAAAGCAAAAACGATTTCATTTTTTTCCACCGGAATTTGTTCCATATCTTTGATCGTGGAAAATTTTTTAGTTTTTTTTTGCAGAATTTTATTTCATATATAGATACCACATTCATATTCACAATGATTTAGATTGGATAATAATTTTTTATCATGAAAGAATTTTGTCTGAGTAGAAAATATTCATTCACATATAATGAAATCATTATAAAAACCAAAAATACTAGAAATGTCGTCATCAACATAATGATGACATTTTAAAAATTCCGGTGAAATTCAATTTGATTTCAAATTTTAACAACAGCAACAACTATTGTGATGGTGGCAATATTTAGAATATTTTTGTATGATGTGAAATTTTACTGATAACAATAATAATAATGAAGAACACATAGAATATGAGAATTGGATTTGTTTTTTTTCTTTTCTTTGCTTTGCTTTTTTTTTTTCCCATTCTACGAATTATTTGCAATTTTTATTAACAACTTTTTATTCTTTGAAGATTCCTTTGATCTTTTGACAAGTTGAAATTTTTTTCTCTCTTTTGCCACTACTGATTGGAATCTGAATTTCCGAAAATTATAAATCACATTATTTTTTATATATAGATAATCACTAGAATGACAAAGAAAACTAATGATGATGATGATGATGATGATATGATTTGAATTCAATTTCAAATTCTGAAAATTTTATTTTGAATGAAATTTATTTTTTATCATTTCTATCCAAATGAGTTTTATCGAACAACATGATCAGAAATAATTCACAAATTTTTTTCTCAACTAATGTTGTATCTCATGTGATTAATGAAGTATTTTCTATGTTCGTCTTGGATATATGTTTGGTTCATTTACATTTTCATTTGAATTTTTATCGTCTGGACATTGTCCTCCCACTCCCAATGAATCATCCATACTATTGTTGACAGAATTTGTTTTTGATTAAAAATAATGATTATAATAACTTGAAAATTTTTTATCTTTCTTTGTTGATTTTTCTTTCATTCTAAAATGATGTGTATTATGTAGGAATCATTATAACAAATACGAATCGTACATTGATCATATCACCATCACAACGGCGATCATCAGGATTATATCATTGTGCAGCCACAAATATTCTTGGCAAAACTGTCAGCGATCGAGTTCAAATCGACATTCTTTGTAAGTAAAACTACCATTTTTTTGGAATTATTTTTCCCATTTTTTTTTTTTCACAATTCTAAATATTTTTCACAAGAGTATGTATGTATGTGAATTCGTGAATTTATGTATGTGTATCTGTTGGGAATACATACATTACATTTTTTTTTTTCCATATAATATATGTTGTTCTTGTTGTTAGATGATTCTTGACTTTATAATGACGTTACAAATCTGTGAATGAGAAGAACACATTGCATTATTACTTCTAAAAAAATGACGAGGATTTTGGTTCGTTGGAAAAAAAATCTGTTCATTCTTTTACAGTTTGATGCATAACTCTATATATATGAATAAATGAATGAATTAAATGAGATCATCTTCATTATTTGATCGAGAATCAAACAATTCATTCACTTTGTGATCTATTAATGATTTCTAAGAACTTTTGTCCTTCATCATGAATCTTTTTTCTACTTGAATTGAATACCGATTGAACAAACTAGATGAAAGTGTGCAGCAATAAAAAAAAATCAAACACGGAAAAAACTGATCTACAGTACATAAAAAAAGAAAGAAAATTGAAAAATTAAGAGATGAGATTACCCCCCAAAAAAAATTAGAAACAAAAGATCAAATTTGGAATATTCCAAATGGAAAAAAGGGTAAAGTAGTAGTATATGGTACTAATCAATTCTTTTCCATTTAATAACCGTTATTAGGCATGGCAATTGTGAATTCGATTGTGATTTCACAAGAACAAGAAAAAAAATCCTTATATTCAATTTCAAAATGTACCATACATCAAAAAACAAAAACAGAAGATTCAAGAAATTAATGATTAAAATTTGATTTATGAACTTAACGATACGATTGGATTTTATTTCACTCAATGCTATTGTTTCATCATAATCATCATTGTCTTTTTTCTTGAATTTTTCTTCTCTTGTTGTTTGATTTTTCTTTTCCACCGTATGTGATGTAATTATTCAAATGGCTACAAATTGTAGTTGTTTGAATTTTTTTTTCTGTTAAAAAAATTAGTTCAACTTGATTATCATAAGAATAATAACAGTTTCATTTTTGGAGAAAAAAAATAAAAAAAAGTCTGTCCATTCTTAGAATTTCAACAAATTCATTCGATTCTTTTCAGACACTGTAAGTTTTTATTGATTGTGAGAAGTTGTTATCCCTAACTTGAAAAAATTTTTGTTTTCTTTATTATTTTTGTTTTTTTTTTTGGCTCAACATTTGTTGGCCGAAATAGAATTTCAAAATGTAGATTTTTCTTTCAAGAATAAAGATGAAAAAAAGTTTGACCAGATACATATAGAATATTTTTTTCCGTTTTTTCGGACGATTCAAGCCTGAAGTTGACATTTTCATTTATACAATGATATTTTGGTCAATGATGACGATTCGTTTGCAACCGACTACCGTCATTAATCCGAAATGTTGCTGTAATTTTTTTTCATATATTGAGACACTTCGAATTCCATTACCGAATTGGAGATACAAAAAAAAAAAATTCTATTTGAAAGTTTGTGAAAATTTTTTTTTTTTTTTTTCAATTTCCAGACATGTTTCTTTTTCCACTGTTTGAACCGATTAAAATGGGTTTCGTTTGTGTGCGTGTGTGTGTGGCTTTTTCATACATCTTCACGCCTAAACCGATATTTTGCTCGATTTTTTTTTCAAAAAAAAAAAAAAAAAAATTTCACACCCACTAAATAAATGATCAAATTGTCTTCTAAGACCTTGCCGGAACTATTTTTTTTATATTACTTTAATATTACACGCGCAAAAAAAAAAAATATATAATTGACCTACATCATTCTGGTAGTTTGATAATAATAGAAACGAATTATTTGGAATTCACGTTCGTGTTCAATGTATTTTTCCATGTGAAAAAAAATTGCTATTTTCTTTTAAAATACTGTACTTATGGTATGGTTTTCAAAGGTCCAAATCATTAAAACATTACACATCCATTCACTAGAAAAAAACACATCCGTCTATCTTTATTGGATTTTAGAAATAAAATTTATTTTGTAAAATTTTTTCTTTAGTTAGGCGTGTTTCAAACTTATTGTTTGAAACTTTATTTTTTTCCAGACGGTTACGGTTGATCTATCGACAAATGTTGTTTGGATATATGGATCCAAGAAAATTGGTTTATGTTGTTGTATAAAGTGAACTTTTTTTATGATGATTATATGATCTAAACATCAAAACCTCATTGATGACTACGAATAATGATCATCATCACTGTTAATAATAATAATATTATGGCTTTTTTTGGAAAGATTTTCTTATCGTTTTCAATCTGTATTTGTGTTTGTGATTTTTATTGTTTTCATCATCATCATCATTATTGGTTTTAATGGTTGTAATAATTTTTTTTCACCCATAAATACATTTTTCTATTGAGATCATAACAATTATTACTATTATTATAAGATTAAATTTTAAATTTTTAAAAAATATATTAGACTCTTTCATTCAATACTTACCTATATATATACTGTATCGTAAACACATGGTTATATACTAAAAACCGATGAAAATTTGTAAAAACCAAAGGTCCCTGTGTGCGTTGTGTGTGAGTGTTGGCCGTAATTTGGTTTTTGTTGTTTTTTTTTCATCCGTCAAAGTCTAATAAGATGCAATAAGATGAATAGCATCATCATCAATGATACTGAACAAATTATAACGCAATTATCGATCAATAGACAAAAGAAAGAGATTCATACTTTTTCGATTCAGTTTTTTTTAAGGTTTAATGATGATGAAATAACGGCAACGGCAAGACGAAGATGGATGAGATGGTTTTTATTTCTAAGAATATACACACACACACACACACACACACCCATCCGAACACGATAAAATCGGTATCATACACATAGTATCATAATGATAGACTGTATGTGTCTGCATTTTGCATCAATAAAACTTTTTTTTCTCGACTATTTTCGAATAAATGAAACTTTTAGCTTGAAATAAAACAAAAAATTGGAATTATCATCAATTCTATCTAATATAGTAAAATTATTATTAACATTATAAAGATTCAAAAATATGGTCTTTTCTGACAAGGTCTTTTTGTTTGTCTTTTTTTTGCCTTTGGTTACGATTCTTTTTGCTTACGGAACAACGATAGCAGCAACAACAACAACAACAATAACAACCAAAACAAAAACAAACAAACGATAATAATAGTGAAAAACGAAAATTGAAACAAAGATTGATCTTATCCATCCATTTGATTTGTTTTCCATTGGGCTCTTTGGAGAATTCATTCTCATATATAATCAATAAATCAGTTATAGAGAATTTTCATTGTTGAATTTTTTTTTAACCTATTGGTTGAAATGGTGAATTTTTTTTTCGTTCTTCACATTGATAGGCAACAAAACATGTAAGTTTTTTTTGTTTATATTGTTCAAGTTGATTCACGAATCTAAATAGATTTTCTGTCTAAAATCTATCCAAACTGATGTTTGGGCGTTTATTTTGCTTTTTATCATTCGTTTTTTTTCTGTTTGCTAATGTTTTGTTGGATTGGAATTTTTGTGTCAGTATTGACACGACAAAAACAAATTGTTTTTTTTTCATCCTCATCATCATCATCATTCACATTATCGTTTAGTGTCAATTAAATATCGATCCATTATGACAATGTTTCATCCATCAACGAATGAATTTCATTTTAGTATCATTTTTACTTGAACAAAAAATCTTTTTTTTTGTTCAAGAATTTTGGAAATTGATATAATGCTATCATCTTATTATCATTATCTAAAATGATGAAGATCATCATCATCATCAATCTAATTAGAATTTAAGGTTTTATACTGATTTTCCAATGAAAAGCAGAATCTTTGTGATCAAACATAAAATAAATTTTACCATCTTAAGATCGATGGCTAATTTTTTTTTTCAAGAGGCTTAATTCTGTTTCATCATCATCAACATAGCTTATATTACATAATGATCATCATTAATTGAAAGAGATTGATGCCTTTCGGGTTTGTGATTAATAAGCCGAAATTTTTGCCCAATATATAAGTGTATTAAGTGTATATGAGTGAAAGTGAATCTAATTTGAAAATTTTCTTACCATCATTATCAATGATGATGATGATGATGATTAGGATTATTGTCATCATCATTGGCAATATTATTCCTTTCATCCATTCATATAAAGATTTGATGTCTGTGAAAAAAAGTACAATGGTTGAAATCATATACCTATACTTTAGTTATGGATGTAAGTGAATATTATTTTCCCTCCGGGTCCATTTCTAATGTTTAAATGAAGTTTTCGCTTTTTCGTTTCTCGTATCGACCAAAATGAAATATTGAATATGCTGATGATTTTTTTTTTATTCGCATCAATGGATCAGTTTTATTCTTCGTAATGAAGATGCTGATAATCATATATTCAATGAGTTTTCCTTGTAATGTTGTAAGAAATAAAATTTCCTTTTTTTACATAATTTGCATATGATGATGATTATGATGAGCATGGCAAAAGTAATTGGTCGTTTTAGGTTTTTTTTATGAAATGACATTTCATTTGTGTGTGTGTGTGTGTGTTTGTTTGTGTTTATTTGTCATCAAATTACTCTCACATCTTATTATTGGCCAGAATCATCATTATTACTTTCAATAAAATGCTTGTTTTGATGGGTGACACTTTCAAGTCGGTAATTTTTATTTTTATTTTCCAGAAAGCAATTTCATCACTATATCGTATCGTAATGTCGTATTTATATTCCACTTGTTTAATTAAACTTTTTTTTTTTTTTTTCTTCATTCCCAAATGGGAATATTGCTTAGGATTTCGTTTTTTTTTTCGTTGTGCTTTTAATATCATTATATATTGGATACAAATTCGATTTATTCATTCGTTTTTTTTATATTGACATCATATTCGATTCGTTTCTTGTTTGAAAAAAAAATCAATTCTAATTTCTTGTGAGAATGTAAGATTGTGTTACAGTTTCTGAACCACACAATTGTCGAATGAATGATTGTAACGGCAGAACAACAGAAAAGAAATTGGCCATATATTTGTCAGGTGATAAATTTTTTCTCTGTTTTGGCATCTGTCATCGTTGCAATGTCTTGTCCTGTCCTATAGGAATCGAATGTTCGTTTCGATAAATTTTTTTTCCGTGCAAACCATGTAATGTTTGAAATTCTTTATATTTTTTTTTTTCGTTCGACAAATGCATCTATTTTGAATACTGAAAAAATTGGCCTTTAATTCGTAAAGTTTTCCCATAAGCTGATTGGATTTTTTCACTTGTTTTATTTTGTAAAGTTTACGTTTATTCATTGGAAATTCTAATCGTGTTCTAAATGGCCGATTATGATCATGATGGTCAATGGCCAAAATTTGTATCCATCTTCATGATGAGCGTGAAAAAAAACAATTTTATTTCGTGATCATGTATTAATGTTGGTGAAGAAGAAAAAACGAGCGAAAATTTATTCAAGCTCTTTTTATCGTTGTGGCTACAGTCACGTGTTGGGCCAATTTTCTAGCTACTCGTATCTCGTATCCAATTCGGCTTGATGTTGGATCAGCTAATTTGCATAATTTTTGGTTCACGTTATCATAGTATTTTTTGAATTTTTTTTTTGTCTATCAATTTTTGTTTGAAAGCACTCTTTATGTTACATGACATTCTTGATTCTGTCATTCTGACACAAAAAAGTTCTCTAGTTTGGTTGATATGCATCATTGAATCTTGTTGTTGTTGTTGTTGTTGTTTGATCATTAGGTCAACATATTCTTCCATTTTTCTGATGATGGATCGTCGTTTCATTATGGTAAATAAATCAGAATCATCACTATGATAAAATAGTCAGTTAATGTATGTGATTGTTTCTGTGTATTTTCTCAAAAACGCAGACGGGAAAAATCTTTAAGATCAATCATAAATGATGATGATCATGATAATGACATTATGATTGATTTGATGAACAATATTTTCAATGTTTGATACAGATGATATGATGTAACTCTTTTTTCTTCCATTCCATATATCTTTATTTTCATTTCCGGGCACACATTCTTTATTGGCCCCTTTCTCTTTAATAATTTCATATCATTGATCGTTACGCCTTTTTGCATTTTGTTCAAAACCAATGTTTTAATATCCTGATTTTTTTTGTTTTGTTTATAATATCCAGTTAAGCCTCAATGTCAAGTGGAATTTGTTCAAACCTACTATCAAAATCTGGATGACTATGTACAACTTAAATGTCATATCATAGCAAATCCAAGTGAAAATGTTCAATTCACATGGCGTTTCAATGATACTGTTTTTATTGGTGATTTCAATAGTGCCTATACTTCATCCTCATCATCATTATCGAGTGAATCTTTTGTTGAACATGTATCCAATGATATTCAAGATATATCGTCTTCATCGTCAATTGAAGATGTCATTGATCAAGAATTTATGATGAATCACGATAAAACGATCAACAACAGCAAACGGAATAATAATCGCAGATGGAAAATACCCCGACCTAAATCTACATTGATACATACGACCATCGATCATCAACATCTAATAACGAATGTGATTCGAATACATTTGAAAAAATGGTCAAGTTTTGGTCAATTTACATGTACAGCAAAAAATAATGTTGGTATTCAGAGTGAACCATGTCGTTGGCAATTAATACCACATCATTATCATACACATTATCGTAATAGTTATGAATCATCCATGAATATTATTCATGGTAATCGTCATCACTTTCATCATCATCAACAGCAACAACAACAAAAATCACAATCATTGATGCAACAATTTTCATCGTCATCATCCCGATTACCGAATCAATTGAATAATTGTCATATAATTGAATCATCTAATGCTGTAGTAATCAAATGTTCAAATGGTGTCGAAGTATATGAACGAACATCCGATTCTTCAAATCAACATCTGGATTCTATACAAACGATGAATATGAATGATAGCCATTATCGTAGTAATCATTACCATAATCGTCATCCGAATAATAATAATATTTATGAATATTCTAATGGTGGTCTATCTAATCAACAAGGTAAGCACAGAATTAAAATCATGAGACAGGTGATAAATGGAGGAAAATTGTACAATATACTGTCAGTTGAATAGACTGAATGTTAAAATTCATGATTATTATGCGTTTATTTTCATCTTGCTAAACGTAACATTAATTAATGTTTTTTTCTCTTTTTTATATGACGGTCAACAACAACAACAACAACAAAACAGTTCGTCCGCTTTTAACATATCATGTACAAGTTTTTCGTCTATCAATGAACAACAACAGCATCATCCCGATTATCAAAACTTTGGCAAACGATAAAATTAATGAAAAAATAGCAAATAATAATTATGATAATGATACGCCCAACAATAATGATCATTATGATGGTGCTATAGATGGTGATGATGATGAACATTTTGAACAATATTCACATCAAAAATCTGAACCAAAAAAATTAAAAAATCCAACCATAATGAATCAACCTGAAACAAAAAAACAAATTGCCTCAATACATGGTGGCTCATCATCTCATGGTGAATCACGAACAGAAATTACGTCGACAACAAAGACGACAATGACAAACAAACCGTTACCGATAATGGAAACGCTTAATTTCACAAATCCACTGTTTATTATTACTAATTTAACTTCATCAACATCGTATTTATTACGTATTTGGTCAAGTAAACAACATATGGATGATTCAATGATTGAACAGGTGAACATAACGGTTCGTACGAAACCGGATGATGATGAATTTGATCAAAATCATCATCACCATCAACAACATGGTGATCGATCAAAAATGGATCAGAAATCAGTGAAAATTTTTGATAATCTATTATCATTTATATCATTTGGACATAAAGATTTATTTATCATTTTGGTTATGATCATATTGTTCATATTTATCATCATCACTTTGACTTATTCAATACGTTTTGCACGAAAAGTTCATCATCATAGTCATGGCAAAGGTAATTATAATAATAATTTATTTATAGTTTCAGTATAAGATAATTGATTTTTATCATTTCGTTTTTTTCATGCTCATTTTGTCGTTGTTTTTTAAACATGTATATGATTGTGTCTGTTGACGCCCTAAATTATAATAATAGATAGACGTGATGTGAATGATAACTACAATGATAGCAATGACGACGATGACCACAATAACATTGTGAACAATAATAATAATCATAATTTGAATGTTCATCATACGAATGAAAATGAAAGATCAACACCATTATCATCGGCAATTAATGTATTTGAAACTGCCTTATGTGAAATGCGACCAGAAACACTTGAAAATGATTTAAAATGTAAAAATTCATCCACAACACCATCATCATCTTCATCGACAAATATAACGACAACAGGTGCTTCTGTAGCTATCACAAATCCATATTCAGCCATAATGGATACATTTAAACCATATCATGTGAATATGGAAAATTTATCCAATGATCAACATTATCAATCACATCAGCCAGCTACTTCATCATCGGCTTTAATTATCAAATGTGATCTTCCAGATTCGTCAATAATTACATATCAAAATTATTTATTTCCATTGACAACATGTGAATCAACATCGGCTACAACAACGACAACAGCAACTACGACGACGACGAATAGTATGATGGAGGATATATCTATGATGGCCACCACCAATAATGGTGCATGTATTTCAATTGATTCTGCAAACGTTGTCAATAATAATAATAATAATAACAATGCTTTAGATACGATCGCCACAAATGTAACGAATAATAATAATTCTCACGTAAGTCAGCATATTTTTTCTTTTTATTTTGTTGTTCATTTCGATTTTCGAATGATATAAAATAAAATGAATGCTGAGAATAGAATTAGAATTTTGTTCTTATTTTGATATGGAATTTTTCTAGCCTCAATTGTTGGATTGTTTGTATTAAAATTCTCTTTTTTTTCAATATCGTATACTTATAGTCATACACATTTGAATCGACCAACCAACAGCCACATACGGCAAGTTTTACACGAAATGAATTCACAATGAATATGACTGAACCACCAGCAACAACAACAATGTTGGAACAACGGAATTACCATCATCTTCACGATCTGATCCATAACAACCATCATCATCATAACAATAGTAATCATCATCATCATCATCATCATCATGGACATTCGGCTGTTGTCAATGATTCTCGAATGAATAGCGGTGCTGATGATGGTGGTAATGGCGTTGATAATGAATCATTTTTACTATCGAATTCATTTCAATATCCCTTGAGTGTAAGAATCGTGCCAACCGATATTAATGATGCCAACGTTTCAAATGCTGTTGCTACTGCTGCTCAATTTGCTACCGGATCAACAACAGATATTTATGATATGAATTCAACCAATAATAATAGCAAAACGAATAAGATCCATACATTAGTATGAGAAACAAACTGAAAAAAACTATCACATTAGAGAATGTACCTCAAGGCGTTTCAAATAGGTAAGTTGATTAACATTCACACACACACACATACAGACATTAACAAATTCATGTATAACATTTGATCAAATTATTGGAAGAAATTCCTAGTAAATTTTTATTTTCATCTTTTATCATCATATAGAATTCGCATTGGGAAATTGTCATCATACAATACGATATGATATCATTCTCATCATCATCAACATCGATTGGATCGATTTCAACCAGATAGTCATTAATGGACAAACAAGTCGAACATCAATGATCACCAATTTGATATTATTACTACTACGAACTCTCATTCATTCTGTTGCCGTTTTTTTCGCTGCTGTGATGCATCCAACCGGAATAAAAATTCGTCCATTTGATTTTCAGACTTTTGTTTCGGATTGAGCTACACTGGACGATGAACAAAATGAAACAAAAGAAAAAAACTTTGTTCACGACAAAAGATGATGTGTGATGATTACAAAGTTTGATGATGGCATCCATGAATGGAATTGATGGGTGTGAGAAAAAAATGGTGTAGCATTGATTTTTTTGTCTCATCAAATACATGGCTTACATGGACCGGCTAATCGATTTGATTCAACTATTATACGTTTACAATGGATTTTATTATCTCTGTGTAACCGAATAAAAAGGAAAGAGAAAAAAAATCGATTACCATAGTTCCCAATAGTGATTCTTTTATCACTTTTTTTTGTTGTTGTTTCCAAACTATAAATTTACGCACTTGAACGAAAAATTTGTATGAACAATGTGAAAATGAGAAAAAAAAGATAATTTTCAATTTCAATTGTAACAAAGTTTAATTCGAATAAAAATGTGGTTTCAAAATGGGGTGAGAAAAAATTGAATAGTAACCGCAAAGTTTTTTTACCATATAGATTTGGAAGTTTGAATTTTTCCTTTTTTTTCAATAAAACAGGATGAAAATTTCATTCACACATTATCACAAAGATTATGTTGATTCATTTTTTGGCTGGCAAATTCAACTAAATATTTCCACATACTTTCTCATACACAAAAATATGATTAAACCAGATAATAACTAGCCATACGGTAGACAAGACCAACGAGGAAACATGTGAGAATTCATTATGTTAAAAAAAAAAAAAAAAAAAAATAGAATACAACAATGATTGGTTAAATTGAATTGAACCAAAAATAAAGTCATGTCATTTCAATCAATACAAACATTCAATAATAATGATAATTTGTATTTTTCCAATGAAAACAAAAAAAAACAAAACAAAAATATTTGTTTCATTATCTCTGCACAATTGTTGTATAATGAAGTGAATAAAAATAAAGAAAAAATTTGCAATTCTGTCTATTCGTACAAATTCCATATAAATTCTTTTTGTTTTTTTTTCATTCATTACACCGTAAATGAATTACTGATGGAAAAATATTCATTTACTGTCATCATCATTATCAACGTGTCATTGCTCATTCATTCATCGTCAAGTTTCGAAACATCAGATTCGGTTTATGTCAACGAAACAAAAAACTATTTCGCTATCCTTTTCTCCATGGCAAACAATCAAACTAAAAAAAAAAAAAAAAAATGAGAAAAAGTATGAGCATAAAAAGAAATGAAAATACATAGATATCAAGAAAATTTTCATTCATTCATTTTTTTCATGTTTAGATCAAAATGCAACTTTCTTGTTTTTTTTAAGTTCGTTCATTCATTGTCTTCTTGGAACGATGATGATGATGACAATGGATGTAATTTTTTTTCTCACTTTTTTTTCTGATTTTCATTGTTGATGATGATGATATAACCAGAGGGAAATGATGGCAAGTCGTTTACAAACATTATCATATAGATTTGACTATGATTTGGAATATTTTTCATGGAATTTCTTTCTTGAAAAAATAATGTGGGTGGTGGATAAAGGAATTGTGTGTGTGTGTGTGTGTGTGTGTGTGTGTGTGTGTGTGTATGTGGGAAATGAGTGCAAGTAAAAGAAAAAAAGGTTTGTTCATAATGTGACAACAAACAATCAGTCGTATCATATAATATAACCAAATGAAAATGTTTGCACATAAAAAATTATATTGGCTGAGAAGATATTTTAATTTTTTTTTCGAAACAAGTTTTCTTTCTTAAATTCTGTATCAATAGTGTAAGCAGCAACAGCAATGAAAGTAAATATATCATAAGGCTTACAGCTATTCTTAGCCATTGATCTAATGTAATGTATTTGAGAATCAAGAAAAAAAATTCTTTGATGCTTCATCCATTTTAACATTTTTTTTTCATTTCATTTTGTTTTGTTTTGTTTTGTGTGAAAGGAAAAAGGCATCATTGTTGTAAATTGTGAAGGGTGAAGAAAGTCTCATCATCAAATTCAGCCACATTCTATATTTTTTCGATTTTTCAATTTCGATTGTCGTATCAGATTTTCTGGTCAATTTTTCTCCATTTTCTTTTATTTTTTTTTTTGCTTTCATTTGAAATCAGTGGAAAAAAATGAAAACAAAAAACGCACTATTTTGTTGCTTTTAGATTCATTGATTCATTTTTTTTTTCTTCGATAATGATTCCTACTGAAATGAGTTTTATTTCATATTACCAGATTGCTTATTTTGTTTTTTTTCCAGAAAAAAAATGTCACTTACTCTATGATGACAATGATAATGATGATGATGATGATGATGATAATCACCATCGAAATGAATTCAGATAGTCTCCCGTTGTTTATTATCACACACACACATATATACTCGAATTATATTTTATTATTTCAAATTTAATATAATAAAAATGGAAACGCTAATCGAATTCCATTCAATTTTTGCTTATTCTGTGTGTGTGTGTGTGTATGTGTCGTTTCCGACTATTGATTCACTGATGAGATCAATATTATCGCCATTTTTTTTCTTTGCTTAAAAAAATGATGGGTATATTGGTGAATTGAATTTTTTTTTTAATATTCGCATCTATCACCAATTGATAGTAATAGGATTAACAAGTTTAAATTTAAAAAAAAAATTTCAAATCAAAAATCCTTAAAAATCTATTCGATTTTGTTGTAGCTGAGGACATTGACCATTACTTGATATCATCAATGATTAGCATGGCCAAATGAAATGAAAAAAAAAGATTCAAATAATATTATGGTAATCGCCACTTTAAATATTCAAAGAAACCATACGGCCGCCGATTCCGATTGCCAATCTCTGAATCAAATGGCCGGGATCTAACAGATTGGAAATGAACATAAGTTACACAAAAGTCAAAGTCATGTGTTTGGAATCAATTTTTTTTTATTTCTTTCATTTTTATTTGCCTGATTCGTTTCGATTCCGGTGATTCAATTATTATCATTACATGAATAAATGAATGAATAAACGCAAAAAAGTGATGTTGAGAGAAAAAAAATGGAGAATAAAGAAGCTAATATCATCAAAAATCGATTTCCAAACATTCGATCGATTCGATTTGAATGAATTCAGTAACATTCAATCAAATTAGGGTTTTTTTCATTCACCATTCTTTAGCTTTTTTCCTCTATCAATGATTGTAAAAAATACAAATACATATACAGGGTTCGTGTATTATTTGTTTGTTTGTTTGTTTGTATACGATATATTATATATACATTGACAAAATTGATGCAAATAAAGATTGGTTTATTTGTGAATGTCAATAAGATAAGATGGTTGAAATCAAGAATGAAAAACAAATTAAATGATGATGATGAAAGTGTTTTATCCACAACACGCACACACATACATTAAGAAAATTGAAATTCAATCATGGACATTACCGATTCATTATATTATTGTGGACTAATCTATTCAGGCTTTTGCAACAAACAAAAAAATAAAAATACAATTAATGTTGCTATGATATAATCATTGTAATCGAAATCTCAAATCAATAAAAATATCTACTATTCTAAATCTTTCATTTTATCATCAATTTTAATGATTGATACAATTTCTTGACTTTATCGTTAATGATCAATGAGTAGTTAGTCAATAATCTGGTTTTGATGTTTCATTTGTAAATCTCATAGCGAGAAGAGTAAATGAAATAAAAACAGTGAATGAATAAAAAATTTAATAAATACTGTAAAATGATTGATTGTTTGTTTTTGTTTGTGTTTTATTTATGCAATCATTGCAATATCCGATTTATAGTTATAATGTTGTCTATTTGGATTTCTTGCTGATGATACCGATGTTGATGGTGATATGGCCGCCGTTGTTGTTGATGTTTCATATGATGATGAATTAAATTCATTTGTTGAACCGCTACTAAATGATGCCGTTCGTGGACTATAATGAGTTGGTGTTGATTGGCCATGAATATCGATAGCCATGGCTGTTGTATCATCAAATGTTTGTTGTCGTTCATGCCGGGTTCTGTTGTATCCATGATGATGGTGATGATTACGATGATGAGGATTGTTTGACGATGATGATGATACACAACTGGTTTTATTGTTAGTTTTTGATGTACAGACAATACTGATTGTTGAGAATAAACCGATGACCAGAATCATCAAACCGACAACCATAATACCACATGCAACAGCATCAACTGATGGTCCAAATGCTTCAGCAAAAAATGCACATCGTATAGTGAAACCAATGATAAACCAAATGAAACCGGCAATGGTTGTAAAAAATCCACAATAAAACATTGTTTGACGATTTTCATCATATCGTGAACAAAAACATTCACCATCACGAACGGATTTAAGACAAAGAATCATTTTTTTTCTTGGCTAGAATCAAAATTAAAAAAATAACCTAAAATATAAATAAGAAATAATCTAATATAATATACCTTTATTTATTTTTCACGGAATGTTGTAATCTTGAATGAAAATTAGAATGCGTATGAAAAAAATTTATCACCACAGATTCAGGAATAACTTTTTTTCACAGAATTTAAAAAAAAACGATACGACGACCACCTTGGAAAAATACCACTTGCATTTTGATAGATGAAACTGGCACGCATATATACGCAGAAAAAAATTCTACAAAATCAATGTCTTCATAACGGCGCATTTTTTTTTATTTGTATATATAGTATAAAATAGTTAAAAACCTATGGGTTAATAACCCAAAAATTAAAACCTGGTCACATGTTACCTAATAATAAACCACAAACAAATTATATTTGAAAAAAAATCGACCGTGGCGCATACTAGGAAGTATAACGATAAACACATAATACTACAAATATGATTATATGAAACGAATGAATGTGAAAGAAAAGGTGTGTATGCGAAATTCTCAATCATAATCTGTCTATTCACATTCATATCGTTATTGTTATTAAGAATAACACAAATACACACACACACACACAACACAACGACAATGGTTGATTATGATGATTACAACAACAGCAAAAAAAAAAAAATATCGATCAACATACCTCTCATTTTATTTTGTTCTATCTATTCGATTTATTTTTTTTTACTAGGTCATTCTATCATCATGTTTTCGTTCATCGACACCGACGATGAACCAACAACCATTTTTATTATTATTATTACACAACTGAATTCATAGTCGCCCAAAAAAATGTCAATTGACGAATATTTTTTTTTTCTCGCTCTAAACTTATTATAATGTTTGCGTGTTTCCTCTCTCTTCTTTTTTCTCTTTCTATCTGCTGTTAACATTTTTTTTCTTCTTCGTCATTATAATAGGGTCTAGACCCAAAAAAAATCGATCATAATCAATGATTGTGATCATCTTGGGCTTAAAATTTTGTCATCTTTGTTGATTTTTTTTAAGCTTTCATTCTTTGAAAGATTCTTGATTTTTTTTCTGACTATTAATGATTGTCGATGAAGATGATGATTTATGTCATACTTGAAGAAATTTTTGCAATCCATAAACTTTGGATCATTCATTTCTTTTGCTTACTTTTACATATATGTATGTGTGTATTCTATTTTGTTGCTATTATTTGATTAACTAGCTTGAATGAATGATATATAAATTTTTTTTTACATCCAAAGATGTTTGTCGTTTGTTGGAATTTTATCGTTTTGAAAAAAAGTCAAATAAACGAATATTTTTTCTATACAATGAAAGATAAGGCTAAAAAATAGGAAAATTTCCCATTTTCATATCAAATTTCAGATTTCAAACCAGAAAATTCTTTTCCACTTTCAATGTGGAAGAAATAGCGACAGAAAGTGAGAAAGGTTTGTCTATCTGGCATCATGATGTTTGTACGTAAATAAATTTACATTTGGTCCAAAATGAAACCGAAATTTTATTTGAAAATCAAAATGAATTATTCACGAACTAGCTTGAAGGTGATGGTTTGAGATTTTTTTTTTTTTTTTTGGAATCAATCAACGTTCATTATTAGTTTTTCATATATTTGTATTTTAAACGATTTTTCAGGATATATTTCAATTTTTGTTTTGCATGTTTGTTTACCATAATAAACACACACACACGTCAACAAAATCAATGGGTTTGAATGTTGATCGCTATGACTAAAAAAAATTCTTATTTCTCCTGTGATATACTAAAAAAAATGGAAAAAAACCTGTCCCTTTGTCGAAAAAAAAACAAGATCCAGAAATTTACTATGCTGCCACGTGCCGTGTCATGCATAGAATTTTGTGTAAAGCTTTTTCTTTTTTGGTCTGTTACATTGAGTTTATTTGACACGGTCACACATTACCATGCATGAAGGCAGGTGTGTGTGTGTTATCAGAATATTAACTTTGTAAACATTTATCATATCACACACACATTCTGTTTTAACTGATTTGAGTTGTTGTCAGTTGTAATAATTCTAGCCATTTAGAAAGACTATAGTCTTTATAAGAGATTTTTTTTTGTTTTATGCTTTTTGATAGTGTTTGACATTACCTTCGGGCGAAGATTTTATTATCCTCTTATACTACGACAACATACGATAGTTGATTGCAAGCATATTTTTTGTTAGAAAGCGACAAAAATACGATACATTTCCAAGTTGTTTGTTTGTTTCTCCATGCATGGTGTAGAACCAAGTTGCAAAAAGTTTTTTCATTTCGTTCGAAGCTAATTTCGAGTTTTTTTTTGGCTTTCACTTGTTATATTTTCTATGTGATAGTTTTATTTTTTTTGTGATATTTTATTCGTGATTTAACTGTGAGAAAAAATGTGGAATAATTTAATATCAAATTCTTCATATTCATTACCGAATCTAGTGGATCCTTTTGTCATTGAATCGAATCAAATACGACGACAACAGCATCAACATGATGAAAAACATAAAATGAATCGATTCCATCATGATGTTGACGTTGATAATGATAATAATGATGATGATAAAAACATTTTGCCAGGTTATCTTCTCTATGATGATCGATTACATGAAGGCCGTTTTGGTTGTGTTCGTTTGGGTATACATCGATTGACAATGGTGAATGTTGTCGTCAAAATAATCAACAAAAATCGATTCAAGGTAGGAATTTTTTTTCTTGCTGTTGCCAACATTTTTAGAAATAAGCTGCCAAACAAAAATAAAAAACAGAACAGAATTATTGCATTATGATAACGATGAGCTCTGATTTTTTACTTTTTGTTTTCCATAAAGGACGAATTCGATTATAGAATGATATGTGCCGAGATCGATGCACTGAAACATCTGAATCATCATTCGAATATTGCCAGACTTTTACAATTTGATGAAATCGGTAACAATATATTTATCGTTCAAGAATATTGTTCACGTGGTAATCTAGATAGTTATATAGAAAAAATTTTATATGAAAATGAAATCAACCATCATCATGAAAAGAATCGACTGCTGTCTATCGGTGATGTGGTACGAATATTCACTGATCTTGTCGAATGTTTAACATTCGTACAGGAATATTGTGGCATTTATCATGGTGCAATCAAACCAGCCAACATATTATTTGATCATAACAATCAAATCAAATTGATCGGTTTCTGTCCAACATATCTATTCGGTCAAAATAATAGACAAAAATCTGAGAATTTAATCAAACTTCAATACACGGAATACGATGTATACCAGCCACCCGAATGTTGGTCATCATCATCATCGAGCAATATTAAACGTTATCGTATTTATTTACCAACTTTAGACGTTTGGAGTTGTGGAATTTTACTTTATGAAATGTTAACCAATTCAAAACCATTTACAATAGGTACATTGATGGAAAAATTCAACAATTTTTAAACAAATAAAGGTAATTTGATTTTTCTCAATGTTTTAGAAAATGCTTATTGGATAAAAAAAATTTCATTTACTTTAATCATCTGGTCATATGTTTTGTTTTGGTTTTTTTTCTATATTGTTGTTTTATGCATAAGCAGTCTGGTATATTTCAAAATCGAAAAGAGCTCACATTATCGTACAATGGAGACGGAGTGCTTGATCTGATTGAACAAATGTTAAAAATTAATCCAATGGAGCGTATCAGAATGAAACACATTTTGCAACATCCATGGTTAAAAAATGGCTGGTGTTCCAATACCGATATCAGTTATGACAATAGTTGCGATGATGCAAACGTTATTGATTCAAATCTAATCGTTTCACCCGAAACGATGGCGGCTACAATTTATTCTAAAGATCGAAACAAGACGAAAAAGTTTCATGAAATTACCAATGAAAAAATAGAACGATTGGACAATGATATATTGGATGAATGTCTACGATTACATAGTAATGAAGTGAATGATGTACTTGAATTACGTTCAAATATTCTATACAAACATTGTTATCATACTGCAACTTATTGGCTAATTCACCAGAACAGTGAATATTACCATAAGGTATTGTATATTATTGTGGCCGACCTATTTATTTTTAGTTTTTTTCTATATTGTATATTTTTAACTATAATCTTGACTTTATTTATTTTTTTTTCTCATTGTATTCAATGCAATAGCAATGTAAATTAATGATGGTCAACAATGGAAACAACCGAACAAAATTTAAAACGACAGTTCCGATCACCAATAAAAATATCGTTGTTCATAGAAATGAATTATTGGAAAATAAAAAAAAGCGATCAGAATTCTGTCTATGATTCAAGATACATTTCCAATGATGGCGAAGATTTTGGGTTTTTAAACACAACGATAACCACTGATGATTATGATGACTATGACGGCAATGAATTTCTCGATTCTGGCATACAAAAGGTTCGAATCAATGACATTGAATTTTTTTCATTGTTACTGAATTTTTTTTTGTTCAACAAAATTAAATTTTAGGACTTTATGGATGGAAATATTGTTCAGAAATTAGAAAAAAGACAACAATTTTCAAAATTTCCAACTGGTCTGTATCATCATAAATCGAACAACAACGTCAAACAATCAAGCTCAATAATCAAATACTCGGAAAATCGTCATCATGATGTTGATGTTGTTGACAATCCAATTGTATTGGAATCGAAACGTAATAGGAAATGTTTCCAAGGAAATGCTGATGATCATGATGATGATAAAATGACATCTACTACTATAGCATCAACAACAAATGAAAGCAATGAAGAATTCCAAAACAATATTAACGAATCTAAACGATTGAAATCGATTTCAAATAGTGACACTGTTGATGATGAAACGAAGAAAAAAAAAAAGTTTCACATTGAAACTATTATTCAGTGGATTGACAAAAAAGTTTTCGTCGAATATGTCGCATATTAATTCATTGTTGAATTTTCATAGCCAAGGCCATCGTCGGTCATTGAATCCAAATCAAAAAGAATCATCGAGTTGTACAAATTCACCATGCAAAACTGAGATGTATCAGCTGAAACAACAACAGCACACACGAAGCTATGATCAAATCAATATTTATGGCCATTTCAATATCGAAGATTATCATTGTCGCAAGTCACTTTTTTCTGATCACCAAAAACATTTGGTAAATGATTCTATGATCATGTGTCGAGGAAAAAAGAAATCTAGACCATCAATAGACAATTTTTGGCGAAAATATTCTGAAAATGAAAGAATTTATGATGAACCGACAACAAATGTCTGTAATTCTAGTAGTAATAATTCATCTTCGAATTCATGTTCTTCAGTATCAACATCCAGCTCTAACGAAAACCATACAAGTTCATCGACATTAATCATTACAAGTTATGATTGTTATGATGATTGTATTCAAGCGGCCATCCATATCCTGAAGAAGAAGGGAATAAATTTTAAAGAACAACCGTAAGTTTTGTCTATGAAAATTTTCTGAATTTTTTTTCACGATTACAATGAAATTTTTTTACTATTTTTTTTGTGGGGTTGGAAATCAAAATATATATAGGAGCAGGAGAAATGGCACCCGACAGCTTCGTTGTTGTGTATCAATATCCAATAGGATTATACTTGCATTTCGGATGGATTTTTTTCAAACTGATCCAAGAATGTTTATATTGATACGAATGAAAAAAATTCGTGGCCAAATGAATGATTTTAAAATCATTTGTAACAATTTGACAAAATATTTTAAAACCAAATCAATGATAAACACAAATGATTTATGAGAATATTGAAATGAAAATTGTATTTGCACACGAATAAAATTGATTTAAAGCAAATAATAAAAAAAAGAATATATTTCATTATGGATGATTCTGTGCATATTTTGTCTTCAAAATAGTAATAATATTATCATCATCATCAGAATCGAGCAAATAAACGGCAACATTATTTTTTTTGATAAAAAAAACTTTTTTTTTCTTTCCCGATGATCTATGATTTGGAATTACATGAAAAAGAGAGAGAGAGAATTCAAAACAGCATGAATAATAAACTTTTATTGTTCATCATTTTTTTTAGAGTTGTTTCAGGCAACAACATCAAGCAGACAAAAAAAAATATTTTTCTACGCCTTGTCTCTGATAGACGGATGTGTTTGTTTTGTTGTTCACGAATTACAATTCATTGGATTCATGTGTTGAATTTTGTTTTTATTTAATTTTTTCAACTATAATAGCGACGTTTTTTTGTGTTGATTCGTTTTTTTCGCCATATCTATGTATAGAGAATTGCTTTTCATTTTTTTGCTGAATTCTCGATTCATTACATTTACGATTTATCTCGTTTTTTGACGAAAATTCATATACATGGAAAACGGAAAATCTAGCAAAAAAACATACAAACATGAAATGACAATTTCATTGGAAACGATAATGACTGGATGTTGACGATGGTTCGAAAAGTCTTGTAGAAATTTAATAAAAAATGATGATAAAGTAGAATGAAAAAAAAAACAAGAAAAACATCCAAACAATTAGCAATTTTTCTGGTGTTGACTAGCGATCCAATATCAACTGTTTTTCATTTTCATTTTTTTTCTGGCTCTTAAAAATAGAATTTGCAGACACTCGAAAAATAATTAAAACTCAGTTACAATTGCTATGATGCAAAAATTATTTGTTCAAATACTTCCAAAAAGGTCCGGTTAAAAGCTTCAATTAATTATAATGTAGTATAGTCATAAATGGATGAAGAAGAAGAAAAAAAATGTCAACAATGAACCTAATTATCGTTGATATGTTGTTATCCGAACGTATTTTTTCTGTTTTGTATCATTTTTTGGGTACAAAACAGAAAAATTTCTTGAGTACCATCGTATTTTAATTTTATTTTAAAAGATATTGCATCGAATCAAATACAGAATGAAAAAGCTTAAAAGAGATCCGATATTCAGGCGAAAAAAGTTTATTTTGGTTTCGGATTCAGTACATAAGATATTACAAATGGAGAATTCTAGTTGATCTTTTTTTGCATTTAATCTAAATGATTATAAAGTCAGTTACGATTCTTTATTTTCTTTTAATTTGATGATTTAATTAACATAAGAGTCTCAACCTATTCGCTGTAATTAATCCATTTATTAAGTTGTTGATTCTTGAAGATTTCTATTTCTAATGTATTCATTGTTTACATTCAAAGCTTTCATCATTCAAAATCTGGAATATATCAAGCAACTGAAGAATGAAAAAAAAAATGTCATCATGTTCAGGTCCTTTGAGACTAACTCTCAATATATACAGACAATAGCATCGTATTTTTGGTTTGTTTGTTTTTTCACATCGTATTCTTTCTGTATTGGATTCACGTTTCAAGACATAAAAATTAATAAATAATACATTTATTTTTTTATTCCTTTACCGATTCAAGTTTGAATGTCCAGAAAAAAAAGAATAAATCTTGAATCGTTTCAAGACATAAAAATTAATAAATAATACATTTATTTTTTTATTCCTTTACCGATTCAAGTTTGAATGTCCAGAGAAAAAAGAATAAATCTTCTATCGTAAAATGAAACAAAAAAAAATGTGAATACCAAGGTCGGGAAAAAATAGCAATCGATAGTGATGGATGTAACAGATTTTTTTTTATTTTTGACTCTTAGAAATGATATAATTTGAAAATTAAAATTCCAAACATTATCATTCTGAATTCATTTTTCTCATTTAGTCAATGGAAAATTGTCGCTAATGCTGATGTTTCATGTCATAGATTCTATGACATAGAAAAAGGTTGGACCACCGCGTTGAAATACGGCAAAAACTTGCAAAAAAAAACTTTATTTTTCATATATGAAATATTAACAACATTTGCGTGATTTTTGGCCATGAAGCATAAAATGTACGAATGTGTGTAGGTATGACTTTATCATTAACATGATGATTATTATTGTTATTTTGTTATATAATAATAAAAATTTAAAATTAACAATATGAGAAAGTAGAACAAAAATAGAATTGTTATTAGTTCTTTTCATATAGGAATTCATGAATTTGTAATGTCATTAAGGCTTTGGCTACATTACACCGACTAGTAGTATAGGGCCATTCTTGTAGATCTCAAACATGGAAAACTTTACCGACTTAGCGATTTCTACTTCCACAATGCATTTTTTGTTTGGTCTGTGTCTATAAAGTCGGCACTAATGTGACCAAAAAGGCCAGAGATATACATTTTTGTTGAAAAAATATTTCTTAGCGATGGTTGCGCCATCTATTTATCACTTTATTTATTCTTGATTTCTTTTTTTTGGTCATCTTTATATCTTTATAAAATAAAATGTTTATTATGTATGGTCAATCTGTTCGATAATCAAATAATCTGATGACAATCGGATAAACGATATAATGCCTGATAATATTGTTCCATTAATCGTTCTGTATAGAATTTTGATTTGAAAAAAGGAAATATTCCTTCCATGAAACCAATATGACCACCACGTGATGTGACCAACAATGCCACATGACGATTTTGTTCGACATCCCAAGGTAATGCTAAGAAAACAAAAAGTAAAGAATTATTCAAATGATCATGATTATTAATATATTAACATTATTAACTTACAATCAGTTGTAGGTGCAAACATATCATCGGCTGCATTTATACAAAGTGTTGGCGTACGTATACAATCCATTTTGCCTAAATGGCTACTCTCAGCATAATAATGTGAAACACTTTCAAAATTGAATATTTTGATCGTGAATGCTTCATCAAATTCGCGAACATTTTGACATTGTCGTACACGATCCAAATCGATACCGGGAACATTTTTGAATATCATATGATTAGCATCAACAATATTGACCAATAATCGTGTTAGATGATGATTTAATGGATAATTGAGACTTCTTTCCATGCTTTCACATCCGGTCATCAAATCCCAACAAACAGATATTAGAAAAGCTGCATCGATTTTTGATTCAAATCCAGTCGTGATCAAATACCGACATAAAAGTATACCACCAAGCGATATACCTGTAGCGATCAGTTTACAATCAAGATTATAACGACGAATATGATCAATAGCAGTATGAATATCATCATCATTTGCAGCACAATATAATCGAGGTGTCAACAATGGTGTATTGCCTAAACCTCGATAATTGATAACAACTGGTCGATATCCAATCTGAAAGGCTATTGGTACCAATGTTTTTATATATTCTGCTTGTGAACTACCGGTCAGACCAGGCATGAATAATGCAATTGGTTTATGGCGATCCCCAACATTTCCAAACGAATGACCAGATCGAGAACATGCTGATAGTTTACAATTCGGATCATACCAATCTAACGATATTTGTCCACCATCAGGTGTTTCTAAAAGAGAAAAGATCCAATAACATCATTGAAAATATACGTTCATATATTACAAGTATTACAACTTACGTAATAATTCCCGATGATAATGTAAATCGGAACAAAAACCACGAATAAAATTGGCCAAAGCTGTTAATAAATGTGTTTCATAACACCAAATTGTTGGCCAATATTTTTCACTTATTACCGGACAATTGGTCAATAAAAACCATCTAAATCTTCCATCAGCTGTGACAAGTATTGGTTTCTGATTATCATGGCAAAAACATCGTTATATTATAATAATGTATTCACAATAAAAACACAATACTTACTTTTACTATGTTAGCAATATAATGAAAAACATATATGATAAATAAAAGAACGGCAAAAAATGTTCGGGGATTATATAAATAGAAATCGATTATAAAATCCGTAACATCATTAGCTCGTTGAAATATTAATTGAATCGAATCATGATGATGACCAAAACCACCAAAAATCGGTACAATCAAATTAAACGTATCCATTTCGTCGTACCGATGCTATTTACAATTATGATGGTTCAATAACATATGATTATAAACAATTTAGTTTAATAATAAACATCATTCTCATTTTTAGGTTTTTTTTAAACGACAACAAAGTTTACGAAATCGGAAAGAAAAACAAAAAACCCAACTCAGATAAATTTAATGATGATACTCGACAACAACATCAACAACAATCAACAATGCATGAATTGATTTGTGCTCGACATTGGACTCCATATGTCAACAATATAGCAAAAAAAAAAAAAAAAAATATAACATTTGAATCTTGATTGTTACTATTTTCTTTACAAACGATTCAATATCAATGCGCGTGACGATCAATTCGGTATTCGGATGAATGTCAATAAATGGCAAACAAATGAATTTTGTAACAGATTTATCATTGATGATGATAAGATTTGTAATAAATTTTCCTGAATAACTTTTTAATGAATGGTTAGAATTGAACAATTTGTTAGAGATATAAAATGCCATCAATAAGCAAAAAAAAAAAAAAAAAGGATCATCGAAAATGCAAAGTAAAAGGAAAAACAAAACCGAAAAAAAAAATGAATGTTATACATCATCAATTTGTTATTTGGATATTTTTGGCCGATTTTTCACATGATAACAAGTCAGAAATTTTGTCCATATGTCAACAATATAGCAAAAAAAAAAAAAAATTTGTTACTATTTTCTTTACTATCACATATACGCATTTTGGCTATACAATCATCAACGATTCTAATATCAATGCGCGTGACGATCAATTCGGTATTCGGATGAATTGTCAATAAATATGGCAAACAAATGAATTTTGTAACAGATTTATCATTGATGATGATAAGATTTGTAACAAATTTTCCTGAATAACTTTTTTAATGAATGGTTAGAATTGAACAATTTGTTAGAGATATAAAATGCCATCAATAAGCAAAAAAAAATCATCATGATTTACATGTCATTGAAAATGCAAAGTAAAAGGAAAAAACAAAACCAAAAAAATAAAATGAATGTTATACATCATCAATTTGTTATTTGGATATTTTTTGGCCGATTTTTCATTCGATCATGATAACAAGTCAGAAATTTTTCTAAATAATACCGGAAACGGATAATTACACGAGATATAGCACCATAGAATTGTATAACGGATAATCCTAGCCAAATGTGAGCATGTCCACCAAGATAGCCAATAAATTCAAACAAACTCATTTGGCGTTCATGTTTAACTTTCTGTACCATTTCATGGTTAGCTTTGATGATAATTCTGGTCACAATTTCATCATTGTTCATAAAATCAACATCTTCAGATGTTGATATATCCATCGTAGTCGTATAAACTGATTCAAGACAATTTCTTTTACAAATGTGTCGACATTTACGCCTTGCTAATACGAAACGATAATAATCGAGATAGCTTCGATGTTGACAAAACTTTACTTTCTCATCATCACTTTGATTGCTGCTCAATGATGACGAATGATGTAGTCTATGGCTGTTATAATCGCTGTCATCGAAAATTTTTGCTTGGTTAGATACAATTTCATGTAGTAAATTTCTTGTTACAAGACTATAATAGTTTAAACACTGATGTTGCTGCATGGCCAATGTTTCTTGCAATACACATCGATTGATACATTCACTTTGCGATCTTGGAACTATAGTTGTAAAAAAAAGAAAACAGAAAAAGCGTTAATTATTGTAAGAAAGGAAGAATTTTTTTGAAAAAATCACCTTTTTTCAATTCGTATTGATGACAATCTGTACGATATGGTGATGGCATTAATTCAGTGATTAATCTTTTAAACTGCATGGAATAAATCATACCGGAATCGATTCGAAAAAAATCTGTTTCCAATAATGATGGTAATGTATATGGTGAATGAATACCAACAATAATATCGGTATCAAGTAATTCTTTTGTATACATTTCGAATGATTTCATACGAACGACAACTTGAACATAGGATATTTTTTGATTATCTATCGTGGTACTAGTTTTTAGTAAGGATGATGACTGTGATTGCGAAACATTATCATAATCGGATAGAAGTGAAAAATAAGTAAAACATTTTCGTCCTTGTTGTATGCTTTCCAATACGAAATTCGATAAACCGGAAATATTGATCGCCTGTTCTTGTGGATGACCATTACCATCTAAAATATAGTAACATTCGGGTATCAATTCAGAAGCATCATAAGTGAATTGATCAAATATTTCCATAACCGAATGATTTCTTAATGACGTATATTCATCATGATATATTTGATCATATGTTTCATCAGTAAATTCATTTTGACTAGATGATTTTTGTAGACAACAACCACAAATTGTAATCGCTGGAAATGTAATATTAGTTGGTGTTTTATATTCAATTCTAACGTTGGTTTCATGAAGTAAAAATTCTGCACATAACCGAAAGATATTAAAACAAAAATATTGTGCACACAGAAAATAGATGATAATTTTCGGTAGAATTTTGATTAAAAAATGAACAATTTTCTGTTTCTTTATTATCATGATCAGTCCTTTCATTTTAAAACCATAAATCAAATACGTAAAAAAATGGAACAATACAAAATTTAAAAAATCAATTTATTGAATGAATCAATTATTATTTGTCCTTGAAATTTCTATGTTTGTTGAATCAGGAATAAAGATAATCAAACAGCCCATTGTCATGGATTAAGTTTGTTTGTTTGTTTTATTAATTGAATAAAGATTTTATGATATGGAACATTGTCGACAATATGTTGTTGATAATAGTTGTCTGGTTTATAAAGAATACAAAATATGATAGATTATAATACTATGGTTATGAAAATATAGGATCTTACTCATGCCGTTGACCGTTTAATTTGTATTGAGCTGTTGCTATTCAAATTATCGTCAATTTTTTATCAGATAATCGAATTTTTAGGAAAAATATATATTGCTGAATAAAATTTTTTTTTAGTATTAATAAACTTGCAGACTGTAAACCGGGCTCACACACTGGCTCATGTGTGTGTGTGATATTTAATTTGACTATTGCACAAAGTTGTCAGAATATTTTGTTGTCTTTTTTTTTATTTTTCTGATTGATCAAGAAAGCCAAATAAATAAATAAGCTAAAGAATCTGTTGTGAGTCTGTTTGATAATAAACCTAAAAAATGCCTAAAGTTGTTTCTCGAAGTATTCTATGTACGGATGCACAGAATCATCAACATGAAATTAATAACTATGATACGAATCTACTCGTATATGATTGTATATGTGGTCAGATGTGTTTGATAATCAATCAACCATTAGAAACGTTACCATTACGAAAACGAGATGAAAGCCGTATACTTGATCAACAAAAAGAATTTATATATAAATTTTATGCACTTGATGCTACCGATGAAGATTTAATACAAATTTCATATAAAGATCATTTTGAACGTCGGTTTTTTCGCCGATGTCCACGTTGTCATCTGGCCGTTGGTTATCAACAAGAAATTTCACAACAAACACAGCTTGCATCCAAAATGATTGTATTTCTTATGCGTGGTTCGCTATTGGAACGATCAAAAGTAGCATCATCTGGTTCATCAAATCACAATCATCGTCATCATCAAAATCAACGTAAATCAACATCATCATCATCAAATGAACAGAATAAAATATTTATAACAAAAAAAGAAATGGGTAAATTTAGTTCAGTTACGGTATCTACTGTTGATGAAGAAGAAGAAGAAATTGAAGCACGTGAAATAGCCGATTCTTATGCTGCAAATGCCCGAATAATTGAAAGACAATTGGAACGAAAACGAATGCTAAATAAACCCAATACAGATGTATCAGCAACAACAACAACAACAACAATATTACCTGAAGATAATAGTGAGCTTTTGCCCGTCGAAATGAAAAAGCCTAAAGGAACGTTAATTGATAAAAATTTTTTATAAATTTTCTAATAATAAATTTTCATTTTTTATTATGAAAACATTCTAATTATAATAAGGCCAGCTACTACAGTCAAAATCGATGTCCACACTGCTAATGTTGTTCCTCGATCTATATTATCACCCTCTGGTCGATTTTCATTATCATTCGTATTGATCATACTCTGTGTCATTGTTGTTGTTGGTGGTGGTGGTGGTGTTGATGCATTCAATTTATTTTTAGCCATTTTTTCATCATCATTATGTTGTTGATTTTCAGTTATATTCTGCTGCTGCTGTATGACCGATTCCAGTTGTGGCAATAATTTTTCTTTCTCATCTATATGCTTTTGTTGCTTCTGTTCTTCTTCAGATTCTTTTGATTTTTATCCGTATCTACGGAAATCATTTTTTTATCATTCTCATTCAGAAATTTATTATTATCTAAAATCTGACTGGAGGCTTTTTCCATTGAATTATTGCTCTTACCGATGCTATTCGATTTTATGAATGATGACGATGAATAATCACTATCTGATGATGATGATGTTTCAATTTTGAAAAAATTATTTTTACCAACTAAAGTTTTTTCATCATCATCATTATATGGCTGTTCACAAGTTTTCGATGTAAATAATAATTTCGATTCACGTCGTTTCAAAGATTGAATTTCATTTTTTTCATTCTCGGAATTTTTTATTTGTTTACGTCGTCGTTTAAAAATGGCCAAACTTTTGTACCGTGATGAACAATTATCATTTGATTGATCGTCTGGTTTGAAACTTTTTTTACGTCTTTTAACACAGAATTTTGATGAATAATTTTGTTGAATATCACGTTTATTTAATGTCAATGACATTGAATTTGATTTGGTACTTGGTGTTTGTTTTTGTCTTTTCACCAGAATCAATGATGACTTTTGATTGGCAAACGTTTTTTGTTGCATCATTTTTTTCCGTTTAATTTTATATTTACACAAATATTTCATTGATGATGATTCGATTGTAATCGGATTCATTTTAACAACATTATCATCATTATTATAATTGTCCATCTTGTTTGTTAAAAAAAAAAAAAAAAAAAAAAAAACTGAATCGTTTTTTGGAATCACTCAATGTTTTTCTATAGAATTTATAATTTCACTTAATTGTTGTCGCTGTGTTTCCCCCTTCCCTATTGTTGAATGCAAAAATAAACTTTTGATTTCATTTTTCGTTCAAATATGAGCAATGATTTTCAATTACCGAATAAAATCAAATTAAACTGTTTCATTATTTATTACAATAGTCAAAAATCAAGAAAAAAAAACTTTAAGAATTAAATGGCAAAATATTCTTATTGTAAAGAGCATCGATAGCTTTGGAATATGATAATGATTACAATTACAGATACACACACATGTATTAGAAATGTACTCAATTTACAATGTACAGAATAGCCACAAAAAACAATGGCAAACAATGATTCTGTGAATGTTTTTATAATGCATATAAATTTCACATGACAATATTCATTATTATTCTTGTTTTACATTCGTCCGATTCATTCGCGCATATAGATTTAATCAATTTTGAATGTTAATGCATTGAAACGTTAAGAAAAAAAAACAAATATCAATATCCATTGAAAATGGGATATATTTACACCGAAAAGCAAAAAAAAAAATTTAATTTCCTTTTTCATTTCATTTTAACCATTCGCATGAATAAGAATGAATTCACTATTTTTTTTCACTTTTTACTTGTTTATTCAATATGCTAGAATTGCTTTACTAATCTTAATGAAACGACTAGAAAAAAAGATACAACAATGACAATGAAAAAATTTTTACTTCATACAAATTAACCAAAAAAAAAAAAAACATGGAACAGCACAGAATAAAGTAAAAATAAATGGATTATATAACACACAAATATGTGCCATCGAATAAAGTGAAGATTTGTGTTTATGAATGGCTAATATATATCGATGTCTGAAAATTAAAAGTTATTATCGTTTTTTTCTTGTTTCTTGATATGGATGTTTTTAAGTGCATTTATTCGGATTTGGACATGTTTGAAATGAATGTGACACCAATTTTCATTTTGATTTTTCATAGTACCAACACAAGATGGCACTAATTTTTGCTATTGAAACATTTTTGTACTGCATTCAAATTTAAAACACAACGGATCGATTTGGATTTTATTTTCAAAATAAATGCGAACAACAAACACACCTGTTTTTTATAGAAAATTTCAACCCATGAAAATTTCACATTCGAATTTTTGATTTTTTCGATTTTGTCAAAATTGGTTTGGATTTCATTATGGTTTTTTGATTTTCATTTTGGCTCGGTGATTTCCGGCATTTCCGTCGAACTGTATAACGATGGCTTCCAGAATTTTTTGAATGAACATTTCTATTATTTCTTTCGGTACTGTTCAATTCTTTTTGACGGGCATTAGTCTCCATTTGTATGAAATTCATTTCATTTGTGATTAAATATTGTCGACATGTGAACAATATAATGGCAATGATGATAGCTAAAAAATTTAATATAAAAATTTGAGCCGGAACCGTTAAAAATTCTGGCGAATGTTTATCACTTTCATCAGAATCTTGTTTTAGTCTTTGATCAAATTCTCTGGACATGATTGACGATGAAAAAAAAACAACACCGGCAATGAAAAATAATCCCATCTGGATTTATTCGATTTTTTTTCCAGTGAAAATACGAATCAATTTATATGAAATTCAAAATTTGTAAACAAGAAAAAAAAGAAAAGAAAAATAATTTATTTTATTACAATAATTCTGTTTTTTTTTCAAATAAAATTGAAAAAAATGGAACTGTTTGTTTGATTGGAAAGAAAAATCGATTTTCGAATAAAAACTGTACAAAATTCAATGATATCTGAAATGAATTAATAATAAAAATTGATTGATAAAACAAAACAGAAATAATTCAACAAAATTGTTACAGCATTAATAAATACAATGGAATTCCTATGAGAATCGTATAATGGTGATTATAAAATTTAAAAGATGAATATTGTATCCGTAGCGAAAAAAAAAATTTTATCCAGGCTGTCCATCGTTGGATTATATTATTATCATTTTACACAGCTGTCCCATTACGTTTGTTGATCTGTGTTGGAAAAAAAATATACAGAAAAAAAACGTTATAATATATTTGAAAAGCAACGGTGGATATGTTTGTTTCAAAGAAAAAAAATAAAATGAATGGAAAAAATTCAGGAATATACTGAAAATGAAATGTGTGTGTGTGTGTGTGTGTTACCAAGAATGAATAAAAACATTGAAAATGATAATGATCAATGATGGTCATACACATTTTCTTTCTATGTTTGTTTAGTTTTCACAGACATTCATGAAATGTGAGTACAAAAAATTAAGAAATAAAATTCATTACCTATGATATGATTAATTATGAATTTTTTTTTGTTGTAATTAGAATAATCATATTACATTCAAAGGTATAAAAAATATTTAAAAACTGAGTTATTTTTGGAAAATCTTGGCAACCAACAAAACAAAGATAATTTATCTAGAACGTCTGGAAAGACAAAATTCCAAGAATGTAATTGTCCATTTTTTTCTGGTCTACATTCAAATGACAAATATCAAATATTTGCAGTTTTGAAAACTTGGAATTTGCTTTGATTCATTCCTTTTTTTTTTTGGTTGCTGTTATTGTCGATGACACATGACTTTCAACATTATTTTATTACCTTTGATTAATCTGTTTAGCCTTTATGTCTTTTTGAAACTTTATAATGTGGATTCTAGTGATAAGTGTATTTGTTTGTTTGTTTGTGGTGGTGGAAAAATTGGAGTGCTACTCTGTGGATTTTTTCTTTTCATTCTGCTATTTGGTCTTTTTTTGTCTCATATAATGAATTTAGAATAAAGACAAAAATTATCCGATGAAATAAGAATTGAGTTGAAGATTTTCATTTTTTTTTTTTTTTTTTTTGTTAGAGAACAAACACATCACTTACCAGACAAATCTTTTCATGTGATGATGATTGTGTTTGTCCAGAATTGTTATTATTATTATTATTATTGGAATTAGATTGACTGCTAGAGACTGAAGATTGCCTTAGGTGATATAATTGTTGTTGTTGTTGTTGTTGATCACAATTTGATAAATTTTCCATTACCATAGTAGAATTGTTTTTTGTCAATTTTGTTCCTGTTTGAGAATGTGTTGTAACATATAAACTACTATTATTAGTACCATCAATCGATGGTAAATCGGTTATCGTCGATGATGGTGTTGATGTTGGTGTCGTTGCCGATTGTAATAATGTTACATTTGATCGTTTTGAGATTGTTTTTTTATTATTTGGACTGTTATTGTTATTGTTACTGCAATTATTATTGACCATTGTATCATGGACAGTGATTTCATCGCTTGGATTGTAATATAAAATTGGTTGTTGATGAGCATGATGATGATGATGCTGTTGTTGTTGTGGATGATGATGTGTAGCAGCCATAAGATCGGTCATAAATTGACCAGAAGGAGCCGCTTCAAAGCTATCTACATACAATGCTGATTCTCCAGTTTCATACATTTGATGATGATACGATGGACTATTTGCTGATGATGAGGATGTCGTATATAGACAAGATATATTGTTTGTATCAACATAATGTGGCTGTTGATGATGATGATGAGGTGAAATATATTGGGCTGTATTCATATATGGATGATATTGTGAGTATTGAGCAGCAGCTATAGCAACCGTAGCCGATCCATCAATATCATACGGGCTATTTAAATGATGATGATTTGGAGATCTATTTGATGGTGATGAATGTGTATAAATAATCTGATGATGTGGTAAAGGCGGTAATGGTGGTGGTGGTGGTTGACCAATAATTCCTATAGCTGCTGCTGTTGCCGAAATAGGTATTGGTTTTGTTGTTGATATTGGATTCGGTGATGATGATGTGGATGATGAACTAAGCCCTGTGGATGAAGCTGTCGATGAAAGGTCCAACAATTGTGTAGCCGAAATGTGTGTGTTTGTTATTCGTGTGATGAATATAAGAACCAGCTGGCGTAATAATTGATGTTCGATGATTCAATGGACCTTTTGTTCCACGTGACAATGATGAATCTGACAAAAATTAATGGTCAAAATAAATAAAGAATTATTATCATAGGAAGAGATAAAGTTTAATAAAAAGTAAATCGTTATGTTTATTTGACATGTAAAATCAAAGTATATGACAATCGATTAAAGTGAATGAATGACAACAATGAATTCCCAGTTGTATGTCAGAGTTTAATTCTGTTCACTATATATAATCAATCTCGATCATCATTAGCATTATCAGAGTTTTTTTTTCTCTAGTAGTACATCTGGGGATTATTCGATAGTGAGGAAAAATTGATGGCCCATATTTTTTTTTATAAATCACAATCTGCGAATCATTATTGAAACATTCGAACGAAAAAAAAAATACAATACAATGGAATGAAAAAAAAAAGAACGGATAAAATTTATCATCCAATTAATTGTTTTGAAAATGAATAAATAATATCTAATTCATCAAAAGACATTTACATCTTCATGACAAACAAACGGAAAAAAATTCTGAAAAAAAACAAACATTATAACTTCCGGAAAATTTTGACGTTTTTTTTTGGTAGATTATTAATCTTTTTTATTTATATTTACAATTTTTTTTCATTCAGTTATTCTTTTGTTTTTTATGATGATGATGATGATGGAAAAGGATGCATTAAATGGCGTTCTAATCATCATCATCATTTGTTGGCCACACACACACACACACATTATTAAAAAATCCCAATTTCTGGCGGCTATATAAATAATGATAAACGCGTTAGAGCTCGTTATAAATAAGAATAGTTAATTGATGTTTGCATTATATATTCAATTAATTATTTATCTATTATCAACATCTACTAATATTTTATGATGATAATGATGATATAGTGAATTCTTTATATATATATAAGTGTTGAATACAAATATTCCAATGGCGATTGCTATGTTTCAGTATGAACAACAACAGTGAACAGTAAGCAATTATATTTTTCACATTCTATAAAGCTTATATTCATATGTCTACGGTTGTCTTTCATTGTGTGAAAAAAAAAAAATTGGCAAGATATTTGAGACCACTTAAAAAAGATAAATTAATGTTAATTAATTCTAAATAATTATTCAAATAACTGATTCATACTGATGTGAATGGATAAAATGGTGAAGAATAAAATCTGCTTAAATGTAGAGATCATATTCAAGTCTTATTATTTCATACATAGTCTCTATACACATTAAGCAAGAAGAAAAAATATTCGTGAAAGAAAAAACTTTTTCTTTTTTATTATTCTTAGAAAGTTTATTATTCGTTTCGAATATTTTCGTCATCACTTTATCCATTTTCGTATGGCTAATATTCATGTTAATTCATTAATGAATGATTGACATGGACCAAAATGGAATGCAAACAAATATATAATGGCAAATATCGTATTCCTGGATAGCTTAGAAATAATTTAATGATGATGCAAACAACAACAACAACAACAACAAAAAAACTCACCATATGGTGTCCGATTATTACCGATTATGGTGTTTGTTACCGATCCACCTACTCCTTTTTGTGGTGATGGCTGTTGATGATGATTATAATGGCTGTCGATAGAAACGATTGATGATGGCTGTTGTTGTTGTTGTTGTTGTGACTGTTGTGTGGTTATTTGTAAATGGCCAATATCACAGTTATGATTAAATGAATGATGAACATTATTCGATTGCATTATAATTTCAGATGCCATCAAAGAATTTTGTGGATTATTATTATTATTATTGGATGCGGCTATTGTTGTTGTCGTCATCAGTTGTTTATTTGTATTCGAAGTTGTTGTTGATAATAATGGTTCTTCATTCGAACAGCTAAATCATCATCGAATCGTTCATCCATTCCGAGTTATAAGCAAAAAAAAAAAAGAAAAAACCCATTATTATGAGAAAATACCGAATATAGAATAGAAAACAAAAAAAAAAAAAAAAAAAATAGAATCGACATCAATTAAATATAAAGCTCAATAACAATTCTTGATCATTTGATCATCTTAAATGAAATGTTTCTGTCATTGTATCGTTTCATAGTATACCTCTCTCAGTGATATATCGACATTTCTCATGTTTATTTCATTCATTTTATATATAGATAGATAGATAGATATGAATCTGAGGCATGATTTTGATATCATTTTTTTTTTTTTTTTTTTGGCTAAGCCACATGACAATGTATGAAAATTAATATAAAAATGCTTATGACGTCTTCTCCCCCTAGCTGGGGACACCATCAATTCACCAAAAAACAGAAAAAACTTAAGGACGAACAATGATTACAATTTCATTCATTTTGTTTCAATCGATTCACTTCAATTTATTCATTCTATTACAGCCATTTATTCATTGAATTTCAATTTCAAAACAATCATTGCCATCATCATCATTATTGGGTCTCGTATTCTGGGCCACAAAAAAAAATCATTAACAAAACTGAAATTAGATTCACCATCCGACGCCAATTTGACGCCAGATTTACAGGAGCGTAATCAAAAACTGTGAATAGCAACCAAATGTTTTTTCCCGCTAAATATCCGGAAAAAAATCAGCTTAACGATGGCAAAGCGGAAAAGTGTTAGTGGAAACAAACTGAATATATTTGATGAATCAAATTCATTCGAAACAACGAATTGAAAATAATAACAAGTGTAACAAAATGAGAATCTGTCCAAATGTCTGATCATCAAATGAGGAAAATTTTTACAGGAAGTGGAACTGAATGAAGATAAAATATAAAAACTGATAAATCGAGATTAAAAATAATAACAAGTAAAAAAAATTGTGAATGTTACTTTCTTTTTATTCATATGCTTGCTGAAATTTAAATAAATGATGTCAAATGTATGTTTTTGTTTTAAATTATTCATAAAAAGAAGATGTATGAATAAAAAATCATCGGATTGCCGTCGAAAGGATCATCATGCTGACAACCATCCAACCAACATGATTGGTGTTTCAAAAAAATGGAATAGAAATAAAATTGACCAATCAACCAGAACAATATTACTAGCGGACAATCAAAAACATTATTGATAATATCGAAGGAAAAAATTCATCAATGAAAAGAATCAAAAAAATAAAAATGGCAAAATGTCAATATCAGAAATTCAACAAAGTATTGAGTGTCTGACAGGACTGACTGATAAATCGAGATTAAAAATAATAACAAGTAAAAAAAAATTCTGTAAATTTATTCACATCGTAACATCAAAATAATGAGAATCTGTCCAAATGATCATGTGATCATCAAATGAGGAAAAATTTTTACCATGCCACCACAATCTATTTTTTCTAAATGATAATGATTGTCTGTGAATTGCATTATTTTCAAAAAAAAAAAAAAGATTTATTAAAATTACAACATTGACCACTGCAATGATGATCGAATCAAATCGAATAACGATTGTTTTAAATTATTCATAATGTATGAATAAAAAAAAATCTCTAACCAACATGATTCGTGTTTCAAAAAAAAAAATAGAAATAAAAATTGACCAATCAACCAGAACAATATTACTAGCGGACAATCAAAAAAGATAATAGCGAAAAAAAAATTCGAAAAGAATCAAAATAAAAAAAAATGTCAATATCAGAAATTCTGGGAGAATTTTCAATCATTTTTGTTTTGTTTCCGAACAGAATAAACTGAAGAAAAAGAACCAAAATTTGAAAAAAAATTCTGATATGAAAATGAGATTAAGAAAAAAAAATTCTGTATTTTGATGGATCTACTCGTTCGTGTGTGTGGCCAAATAAATCATTATGACCGATTGTTTTCTATGAATAAAGGAACTATATATATATCACATAAACAATAATAACATTTGAATGAACAAAAATCACAAAAGCTTTTCCATGAGAAATAAACTGAGATTGCAATTTAATTGTTTATTAAATAATAGGATAGATTGTTTTCAGTAAGAAAATAGAAAAAAAAATTAACAACAACGAAAAGTGATGAGTGATGCGATTGGAAAGGAAAAAAAATCAAACGAAAGCTACCAATCATTCGTAACCTATCAGACAGAGCTCATGTCGAAACAAAGTTTTTTCTCATTTATTCAAAGCCATGGCTAAAAACAAGTGATGATGATCTATATGCTATTTACTTTTTCTTCAAGATTCTTATTATTTTGACGATAATGATGATGGTATGTTATATAACGGCAATAACAACAAAAACAACAACGATTCCTCAAAGCCAAAAAGTTGACTACAATTGAATAACAACAACAACAACGGTTATAAGATTTGAAAAAGGAAAAAATAGGAATTTTTTCGCTTATCGTATTAACGGATCTATTATTCTAACTACTATTGTCAACAACAGCAGCAGCAGCAGCGACAGAAACAACAATAATAATAATCACAACAATAATCAAAACCAAACTATACGATGATGATGATGATGATGATTCTTATGGCCAAAAATGAATGAATGATTGAATGATGAATAAAGCAATGGATCTGAAAAAAAATCTTTAGAATGAAAAAGCGTAAAAGCAAGAAAAAAAGAATGTTCCTTCTTTCATGGGCTTATGAGCAATTATCAATGCAATCGATTGTGAACCCATTTGACTTACATACACGCACATATATCATATACACCGAACGAATCAACCATTCAACCGACCAACCAACCAACCAACAAACAACTATGATGATGACGACCATGTATATGTTGTTGTTGGTCAACACATCGACATTACATCAAAACAATTTTTTTTATTATTTTATTCTTGCTTAGGTCCGAAGACGAGAAAAAAAATAAAGAAAAAAAAGACAATTACAATAGACTAGCGAAAAATAAAATAAGGAACATAACACAAAATATAACACTCACAAATAAAATGAGTACCACATATATACACAATGCGATATTCCATATACACACATGAATCCACATATATACACACATATAAAGTGAAAAAGTTCCATAACGATTGTAAAATATAAGAGAAAAAAATGAGTTGAATGCCTCGTCTAGCACATAAACCCACAATCTTATATACACAATTTTCCAATCATTCAATTATTTCCAGATGTTGAATAACTTTTTCACTGCCATACACACATGAATCCATCCATCTCTTTTCAAAAAATTCATCTATCCATCTATCCATCCATCCATACGTCATTCATTCATTCATTCATTCAAGTCATTGTGCATGGTCGATCCAACACACAATCCAATCAACAACAACAAAAAAAAACCAAACAATCAACATTCAAGAACGGCGTAAACCATAGACACAACATCAGGAAAAAGAAAAAAAAATGCAAAAGACCAATTTTTCCGTTATTGTAGAGCAAAAAAAAAAAATGAAAAGAATCAAAATGAGTACAATAAGGCAACAAATTCATTCAGGAATTTTTTTTTTGGTGAAAACACAGAAGAAATCATTTCCTTAGAACCAATTTGGATACGGATGTTTACTATTATTATCCAATATTTAGCTCTTATTTTAGTCGTTTTTGTTTGTTTGTTTGTTTGTTGTTGTTGTTATGGTCATTCGCTCATCACTTATAATGATTATATATGTAACGACGAATGAAAAAGTATTGAAAAAAAGGGAGAAAAAATTTGTGACATCAACGGTATTCATATGTATTGCAGAATAAGAAGAAAAAAAATTCAATTTAATCATATCAATTCAATTCTAGATTTTATTATTATTATTACCATTATTATAAGAATGGAATGATAATAATGAATAATGATAAAAAGTATGGAATTGTTATGGCCATTTTTTTTTTCTCTCTCTCTCTATTACTGTTGAAGTACACATAAGTAGATAAAAGAATTCCAAATGACGACGACAACGTTGAAAATGGAAAAAAATTATAGGGAATGAATCGATAAAGGGCCTTATTATTTTATCAATGAAAGAATCGAAGTAAAAAAACGAATGAAGGAAAAAAGAAAAAGAAAAAAAAAAATCTATTCAATTCGAATTGCAGAAATATGTTGCTGAAAATTTTTTTGGTTAAACCGCTACCAACATAGTGGAAAAGACTTGGCATCGAATTTCAAAAAAAAGTCTCAGAAAAAAACTTTTTTTTTACGAAAAGTTTTTTGCGTTTATCGTGTGTTTGGAATTTTTTTGTTTTGCTTCGTCTTATTCTTCTTCTCCCCAAATTATTTTATTTTCGTATTCTGTTTTTATTCAATCAGGATGGAAAGAAGAAAAAAAAATTTTTTTGCTACTCGAGAATATCGAAAAAATGCATCCTCGTACAGTATGATATATGATTCACTAAGTCTAAGAAAAAAAAATTGGCCAACAAAAATTACCGTTCGTGATTTCGAATATTAGTAATGGGATTTTCTTCAGTTCAAAAAAATTTTTTTGAAGACCAAAAACAAATAGGATTAACATTCTTTAGAAAATGAAAACCATGTGAAATATTCGTGTGTGTGTGCAGACACTGTGAATGTGAAATTATTGCAAGTAAAAATTTTTCCGGAAACTAACATTTCTTTACATTGATTTATAATAATGATAATAATTGATAATTGATTGACATTTACAATATACTGACATTAACAAACACTTACATTGGATAATGTATCGACATTTGATGGCATTGATCTTGTATATTGTTGGTGGTACCACCGACAAGGCATACTTTTTCATGTTCAGTTTGATCACATAAATCGACATCATCATCATCATCATCATTATCGCCATTAATATCCATGATGGTCGTATCAGTTTCGAGGATAATTGAATCTTTTGTTGAAATATTGCCAAGCTGTTTTCTGTTATCTATATATGAAAAAGATATAGAAAAGATTTAATTTATTAATAAAATATATACCGAACGAATAAATTATTTTGTATATTTGTGTAGATAATGAGATATGACATTTCATTTGGTTCAAAGGTCTCTAGGGACACGTTCTTTTAGAGAAAGTTAAAAGGTTAATTTTTTTTTTTGCCAAAGCAATCCAAAACATATTTTTGTTGTTGTTGTTGATGATATAACATTGGTGCCAAATGCTAAGATCATTAACTACATATGACTATTATATTATATATAACGATATGAATCAAGCGCATTACTTCTTTCGTATTGAAAATTTGTCGAAGAATTTGTAAATAAATTTTAATATATAAACCAGAACAATGCAAATTTGATGGCGCTTTATTATATGTATCGATCATAATGAATAATAACAGTATTAGTAGTAGTAGTAGTAGTAGTAGTGTTGATGCAACATTTGTGAATTTTTATATTTCACAAATATTCAATTTCCAAATATTCAGAAATATTTTTGTTGTTGGATCGATTTTTATCATAATAATAATCATCATCATCATTATTATCCTAGTATAGCGCACGATAAACATTTTGAGCCGGGTAACATTCTGTCGCCTGAACAACAACAACAACAACAACAACAAAAAAAAATTTCATTTGAATCCTCTAATATAAATATGCAAATAAACGTTCCAATGAATTTGAATCAGAAAAACAATTGGAATTATCGATTTAAACATGGAACGAGAAAAAAATGAACCTATGTTGTGTGTGTGTGTGTATATTGAGAATTGAATCAGCAAATTTATTATTATTATTATTATCTGAATGTGTAAAACCAATGCGAATCTTTTTCTCTCTCTCTCTTGCGAATATATATATCCGTTTATCGTTTATGCATATTATCAAATCAAAACACGAAATGATGCACAGCATGGGAACTGTATATGGTAATAATCGTAAAAAAAAAGTTTTCCATATTATTCCATACCATTGTTTTTGTTGTTGTTTGCATTTTGAAATTGTTGTTGTTGTTTTTTTGATGGTGATTTCTTTTTGAATAACATATTGCTCAAATCTTTTGATTCATGATGTAACGTTGATGATGATGATGATGTGTTTGTTCATGTTTGATTCGTTTCAATTTCATATCACCATTAGATGTAATTATTGATGGTGATATTGTTGAACCAATGGCCAATAATGCATCATTCGCCGAAAGATCAATTGATCCATCAATATTATTATCATCATCATCAGCATTATTATTATTATTATTATTGGCTGTGGTGGTGGCCATCATCATTGTTGAATTTGTTCCATTCAATGATGGACGTGTAAAGGCTACGGTCGTTTTCATGGAAGGTGATGATGACGATGATTGCGGTGATTGTTTTTGCTGTTTGTTGTTTCGCCGTTTACGATGATTATTATCATTATGATTATTATGGCCATTATTATTGCCACTACAGTTATTGATACCGGTACTACGCGATCCATTTGCATTATTATTTCCGCCAATACGGCTACGTATAAGTAATATTAATATAATCACAGTTATGACAATTGTTGCAACGATTCCAATTAAGATGCCTAAAATAGGATGAACAACGATTTGTTCGAAACTCCCTATAAATTATCATAATATTCATAAAAGAAGAAAAAAAAAAAATACAAGAAAAGTGAATTAGACTAATCATTTGGCATTTGGTAATGATAATAAAAATGTTATTATATATAATTCTTGTCCACACGTTTATATGTGGTTACATGATTGGAGCAATCAATGATCTTTACTTCTATTTTTAGTTGTTTGTTTTGTTTGATTCTAAGCAAAACATCAACAACAGCATCAAATGTTCAATTATTATAATCATTGGAATGGATCGAAAATTGGAAAAAAATGTAATTGTACACTATAATAATTTTATTATATGCATGTGTATGTGGGCATTCATAGTGTACACATTGAAAAAAAATCACGTACCACGGGCTGTATGTTTTTCGGGTGAAGATAACGTGACCGCCGACAATGAAACAGAATGTGAACGTCCTTTGGCATTAGTTGCATATAATACAAGTGTATAGGGTGTACCCGGTGTTAACGAACTGACAATAAAATTTGGCTGCGATGAGCTATGATTTGAATGTAACCGTTGTGGATGTTGTAATAATGAATTACTATTGATCGATGTTGTTGTTGTCGTTGTTGCGATACTGGCTGATTGCGCAGCTAATGTTTGATCCACAACTTTATTATTAGCATTGATGATAGTAGCACCATTACCAATATTAGATGATGATCCAAGATTAGTTGTTGATCCAATATAAACTTCTAGATTGAAATGTTGTCGTAAGCCACCATCATCACCGGGTATACATTCGACTAGTAATGTACTCATGGAATGATTTGTGATAGCGCAACCACGAACAGCATCAGGCCGACCTATTTTGTATAGAAAAAAAATTTATGAATAAAAACAATTCCAACAAATGATAATTGAAATGTATGAAAAAGTTCAAACCAAAATCAATTAAAAAGTTTTATTCAAGCACACACACATTAGCTGTAATTTGATAAGGCCAAATTGTAAAATTATGCCTTTAACCAATCATGGTTTTATCAACCAAAACTGGAGCCAAAAATGACGATTCTTTGGTTCCTTAATGGGTTAATACAATAAATGCTAATGAATGTGGATGAATGGAAAATTTAAAAATCAATTTCCTTGATTACGTTGACATTTATTAGCATTCGATTCGACATCATCATCATCGTGTTTGGATAAATGCAAGACAATAAGATAACGATTTTGTCAATGGCACACATGTCTTTTATATCAATCACAGTACAACATTGATGACAATGTGTGTGTGTTTATAATGTATGATGATTGAGACTTTGATTAATTCATCCGACTATTTATTGACAATTAATTGTCTTTTTCTCAATTCTTTTATTTGTCGGGCGGTTTAAAATTACTCTGTTGTTCAACTGAACATAAAAGATTTTCAATCAACGATAATTCAATGTTTTCACAGTATACAAAATGAAATCGTTAATTTGCCAATTTTTTTTTGCTAAGTGATAATTGTGAAAAATTGAACTAAAAATAAACTAAAACCAATTTCAATTATAAACGACAAATTCAAACAAAGAAAACCATCTATAACAGGAATTTAACAACGATTTGATATAACAATAATAGCTAACAAGGAAAAAAACAACTACAATTTTTTCTTTTGTCTATTTTCAAACAAAATTGACAAAGCAAATCGATCCAATTGGAACAATGAAACACAAAGAATAATGAATAATGCTAATTAACATTTTCATTCAAATACATTCATGAAGATTCAATAATTTTTTTTTCAATTTTCACTATGATTCAATCTAACTGGTTAAGGCGTTAACGTAAAGAAATGATTGAAAAAAATACACACACACACACACATACACACACAGTGAATATAAGTAGATTGAGTTTGTAGAGGATATGAAAAAAAACGATAAGTTTTAACACTCATTCAAGCACATCATCACCATTCGTGATCAAATTATTCATTTCGCAAAAAAAACGAAACGAAACGAAATAAGAATTTTGTTCATTACATTCAATAAATGACTTGTTATTTATACAAAAAAAAAGATTAACCAATTCATGCGTAGATTCTAATTAAATATCGTCATCATCATCATCATCATCATCATTGTAATCACCAACATCGTCATCATCACAAATCTTAGATTTTTTATCCTCTCTTTTTCTCATCATAATAATCACAATGCTGTAGTAGGGAAAAAAAGATCATTCGAATCTCAGTGGCTATTGATTATAGTGAAAAAAAAGAGAGAAAGAAAAAAGAAAAAAAAATGAAACTGATTCATTTGCCAGAGAATCGTAATAAGCTTCATGTGTTTGTGTTTGAGCGAGCAAGCAATTCAATTTCCTATTCATGATTTTTCATCACATACACTATTAGCGTGTATTTGAGTGTGGAAAAAAAATTTTTCCTTTCTTTTGTGTGGGTAAAAAATGAATTCGGCATCATCATCATCATCATCAGAACAGAAGAAATAGTCATGATGATTATTCGTTGAAAATGGAGAAAAATTTTGGGATCAAAACTTATCGATTGATGATAATTCATTCATTTTTTTTACAAATGAAAATTCTGGGCATAGAATTCAAGTCATGAATCATATCGTCATCCACAAAACAGCAACACTGAAGTGTAGTGTATGGAAAAAATAATTCAATGAACCCTACGAACGGAACAAAAAAAATGTGACGAAAAAAAATCAATTTTTTTTCACAATTCTTCAAAAATAATATCATCCAACACTGTCTTTTTTAGTGTAAATGTCGACCCACCAATAATAACTGGAAATGGAGAGACAAACAGAACAGAACTCGAACGCAAAGTTATAAAATGAAAATCTTGTTGTTGTTTGATTCTTCATCAAATTATATTGGATTGGAACATTGAAACGAATCAATCGAACAATAACAACAACAAAAAAACGTATTCTAAATAAGTAAATCTTATCATTTTATTTTCATCATTTAATTTCGTTCCCTTCTCATCTGGCGGTGATGTGTGTGTGTGTGTGTGTGAAAGAGCGAAAAAGATACTGGGATTTTGCCCGAATAGAACGGAAAAAAAATCGATTAAATGATTTTTTTCTCGCCTTTCTCCATAATATATTACAAACTGAAGATTTTTTCCAATTCTTAAAATGATTATGATTCCAAGAACTTCTTTTCCGAAATTAAAAACAATATAAAATTTTTCAATGATCATAATTACAAAATTCTTATCACTGTATTTCCGTTTTCAATCGAATCAAATCAATATTTTTTTTTTTTTTTTTTGAAAACAGAAAAAATTCAATAATGAACTTTTCCATTTTTCCAGTTTTTGTTATCAAGATGACTTATCCAAATATTATGTTGATCAATCTAAAGCTATAAATATTCAATGAGTGTTTCAATGAAAAAGAACGAGATCGATTCAACAAATTATTTTTTTCACATAAAGATTTTTTTTTTTTTTGAATTTCAATTGTTCAAAACCCAAAAATGATTTTTTTTCGACGTTATTGTTGTTGTTGTTGTTGTTGTCATCATCATCATCATCTAACCGACGATGAAATTGACGACAATCAAATTTTTTAATGGAACAGAATGAAGCAAAGAGAAAAAAAATTTATTTTCTTATTGTGTTTGCGATAATTTTGGCCGATTTCATATGGGAAACAACACACAAACACAAACGAGAGGCAAATAAAAATTCGAGTCAAAAACAGAATATTTGGAACGGAAAAAAATTGTGTATGTGTGTGTGTACAGTGTGTATAGTGAGAAAAGAAAAATGAATTCAATGTGAAGATAGTATATGTTAGTGGAAAAGTATATATGAAATGGATTCAATTCATTCGCAGATGAAAAATGATTAATATCAGTTTTGTGTAATACATAACCATATATACATATACAGAGATACAAATACAGGATGTGATTGTGATGAACAAACTATTCTAAGATATACGCGTATACAGAGAGAATGAGAAAAAAAAATACAACATCCTGTATTATATTTTTTTTATGAAAATTACACACAAAAATAAACTAGATTACTACTATCGATTTCCGGTCTATTCGTTCCAACCATTGCCAAACACACTAACAAACACCATTCGAAGAAAACGATAATTAATATGTCTTGGAAAATCTAAAAAAATTGTCATTTTATGATGTTCAGCTTCAGAATTTTTTTTTTTTTTTTGTCAACATCAAGTATTGGAATACTAGGAATTTAAAATAGAAAAAAAAATAATCCAAGCTTATCTGAACAACGAGTTTGTCATCCGAAAATCAACAACAAGAAAAATTTGAAATCAAATATATATATGAAAAATTGCCAGAAGTAACACAAATTTTTTTTTACACTCAAATTCATATGTTAACTTTCAATGATTTATCCTATTGAACTGTAATAAAATTCTGTGACCCGAAATCCATTGAATGTTAACAGCAGCAGCAGCAGCATTGAATTTGTCAAATATTTTTGAATTTTTTTTTGCCTTAAAATATTACTATCGTTAAAGCGTCAAAGCAAAAAAAAAAAAAATGAAGAAAAGAAAGCAATGGTTTAATGGATTCTAATACATTTTGGTTGGCAAACTAAATTTCATTTAATATGTATGCAAAAATAAAGCATCAATGTCTCTGTTGACGAAAAAAAAAAATTGGAATTTTTGTTTGTTTGTTTGTTTATCTGTTACATGATCATCATTTCCATCATCATCATCATCAACGTCAAAGCACAAGTTCCATTATATAATCAAATGGGGCATATAGTGATGAAAAAGACCACTGAATTTACCTGAATATAACAAGAGTTTCTAATTGCAATTGATGTAAAAATGAAAAAAAGAACCACTAAATTAAATTAACTATAAAACTAACAAACAAGAATGAATGAATGAATGAATGAATGAAAACAACTAAAACTAAAGATAATGATAATGGGTGTGTTGTGTGTTGAAATAAATAATTCAAACTTCTAAAAAAAAAAAAAAAAAAACACGGATAAAAGACAAGAATTATTTCTTGTGTATTTATGTGTTTCTATTATATATCATAAAGCTTGTACACGATGTGTCGAGACGATGAAATGAATATAAATAAGAGTTTCTAATTGCAATTGATGTAAAAAATGGAAAAAAAGAAAAAAGAGAGAAAGAGAAAGCTAAAAAAAATTGGCTTCAAATTAATGGCAATGGAGTAGAGAGAAAAAAAAGGTAAAAGTGAAAAGCTAAATTAAATTAACTATAAAACTAACAAACAAGAATGAATGAATGAAAACAACTAAAACTAAAGATAATGATAATGGGTGTGTTGTGTGTGTGTGTCGAAATAAATAATTCAAAATTCTACAAAAAAAAATAAAACACGGATAAAAGACAAGAATTATTTCTTGTGTATTTATGTGTTTCTATTATATATCATAAAGCTTGTACACGATGTGTCGAGACGATGAAATATCAATCTTTTACATTGAAAATCTCTTTCTCTCTCTCTCTCTCTTCTTTTGCAAACATTTCATTCAAACAAGGAAGAAATTTCGTTAATACTTACCAGCGGGTACAACACTATAAATGCAAGGCTTATTCTGTATTCCAATACTGTTCTGTGCTAAACATGACAATGTACCATAATCAAGTGAACTTTCTGGTCTATAAGTAGCAATCGATGTTGTTGCATTGACAGTGAATGAAGCCCATTCTACGGATGTTTCACCACTGCCCGATGTATTTAATGTCCAACGAAATGTCAGATCAGTTGATGGTTCAGCATCGACTTCACAACGTATCCGTATCTGTTCATTACGTGAAACACCATATTGTAATTTTTGTCCCGGTTTACAGCTTGGTGCAACTGAAATTGAATAAAATAAATAAATAAGTTCGATGCTAAAAACATTGTTTCAACAATAACAACAACAACAACAACAACAAAAATGCCAAAAACATTCGCTTCAACAATAACAATACTTACAGTTAACTTTGAGATATAATGGATCGGAAACGGTTTCACCTTGTTCATTGAATGCAACACATTGATAACGTCCACGATGTGAACGATGGACTTTTTGTATCACTAATGATTGATTTGTCATAATTACAGTGGATCCTATAGCCATCGATAATGATGAAGATGACGATAATGTCGGTAATGTCGGATCATCTGGCAACATGTTTGGATCACCAGACATCAATGAATGAATTGGACGATCTTCATGTAGCCACACAACTTCTTTGACAGGAGGATTAGCTTTAACATGACATTCCATATATACGTCGCTTCCTTCACGTATTGAATCAATTTGAATATTCGTACCGAAACTGATTCGTAATTGTGGTGCAACTAGAAAAATAAATAAATAAATAAAAAAAGGATAAAAATATAATATGTAGTTGAATTATCAAATGGAAAAAAATTGAATATTCTAGTTGTTTCAAAAATGGATTTGACGATTGCTATTAGTGGCTGAATGAGTAGTGAGAGTGGAAAAAAATTTGAATCTGCTATGATAAATAAAAATAATATAATAAAATGTAATAAAAATCGATATACTCTAATGCAATCTGTATATATGGAACACAATAGATGCGTTGTACGTGAATATGAGAAGTTTTTCTCTTTTTTTTTCTCCCATGAGAAACTTGGCCAAGATGCTTCAAAAATCAATCGATCGATTGATTCATGAATAAGAGCAAAAAAAACGAGCGGTTAGTTGTAGCGGATACATGAATTCATTGGGCTTGTTTTTTCACTACAAATAACAATGACAATGACAACAACAACAATACCATCAATAACACAAATAATAATAAACAAACAAACAAAAAGGTTTCAACAAAACATTTTCGATCCATCGAATCAATCATCAAAATCTGTGTTCAAGTGCAACCTAGTAGTTTATATGAAAGATCCAATCATTGATGAAAGTGAAAAAAAAAATTCATTTTAGCAATATTCTTAATGTCAAAAGTGAAATTTGATTTTATTTTTAATTTAGAAAAATCACGGAAAATACCTTATAATTTGATTGACGTTTGATTTAATCGTAATGTTGCGTAAGCGTTCAAAAAATAATAATAATAATTTGATTGAAACAAATTAGATTTTTTTTACTGTGATTAACCTAAATTCATATGACCTTGAGATTCATAAGAATAAAATCTTGTTAGAAAAGAAAAAAAATCTAGATAATGAATGGCATCGATCTGAATTCCTCATTATTAGTTTTTCTATTAGTATGGCTGCACTAAACTAAACATAGTGAAAACGAACCAAAAACCAAAATCAAACAAACAGAAAAATCAAATCAAACGAATTGGTCAGAAATCTTGTATATAATATAATATGTGTTATTATTGGTTAGAGAAAGAGCAAGAATGAAAAGCATCTAAAAATCAATAAATCGATTGAATCCTGTCACTATCATCAAATAACATTGTTGCTTTCAGCACTTTTCTTAACAGTTTTTATTTTCTTTGCATTTGCAAGATGGCCAAAAAAGAGAAGAAAAATTCTCATTACATATAAACAAGAAATAAGTGTACAAAAAGATAAATAATGTATATATTATACAAAGATATATTAGTGGTCAACATTGCCATCATCATACAACTACCTTTGTGTCATTTACATTATAGAAAAGAATTTGACCACGTTATAAAAAAAAATCACGCTTGTCTTGATAATATAGAATAATCTAGTACCCACATATCATCATAGTCATTCAAAATGAAATGAAATTTTTTATGTATATCCAAAAGCTAGTAAATGTGTTTGGTAAAAGTTTTGAGTTTCCATTCAATTCAAGCAACAATCAATCAGTAAAAAAAAATCAATCTAAAAAAATATAGTGTTGATAACTCTACCAGAATTTTCTTTCTTTTTTTTTATTGACATCAAATTCATCAATTTTTCAGCTGTCGCTATTTGTTTAGAATTCGGGTGATCAAATCATATGGATAGTTTACTCCCAGATTCATGTCAGTTGTGTGTTCTGTTCTTGTCAATTGATTTATTTTTCACGATTTCTTTTCAATTCAGTCCAGTCTTTTCAATCGACTATTCAATTTTTTTTTCATTCATTCAAAAAAAAAATACTGTCAGCCGAATATGAATTCTATTGGCCTAGTTTCAAAAAATCGCCTTTTATATCAAGTCGTTTTTTTACATTCGTTCTTTCGTCCGTTCATTTATTTATTTGTCCATTGTATTGATGTGGTCAATAATACAATATTACTTACATTGTACATTGAGTAATCGTTCATCTTTTAATGCCGTATGTGGCATCGGCAAATTGTCTGCCCGGCATGTCAATAATTTTCCATTATCTTCAACACTTGGTACGAATACAATAGTGGATACGGTTGCATTACCATCTTCATTGACGCTATCACGAACATTTGAGCTAAGACGTTCATTGCCTAACCACCATGATATCTGTGCGGCTGGCCTAGATCCAGTACTTTGGCATTGAAATTCAGCTTTTGAACCGGCCGGAAGTATAAATGAAAGTCTTGGATCAATCATGAATGTCGTTGATGATGTTATTGAACCATTGTGCGATGATGATGATGATGATGATTTTGATTTCAAATATGATTTAGGCAATATTTTCACATCAATTGGACGAACTAAAATGATGACATGAAAAAAAACAGAAACGATAATAGAGTTTAAATCAATTAGATAAAGACAAATTATATATTGAATGTATAGCTAGCTATATATACAGTATTTTGTAAAAATTGCATAAAAGGAAATTGATCGACAACAGTCAAAACAGGAAACAAGTGATTGATTTCTATTTGGGTCTCAGTTTCTATTTTCATGATCTATGAAGAATTTGATAGATTGATGTAGCGGGGCTAACTGATTTAACAAAAAAAAATTCAGTGTTATATATTCTACAGACAAAAACAATCTTATCCAGCCATCCATCCATCTACAATTCGATGAATTGTTTCCTTCATAAAGAGAAAGAACGAGAAAAAAAATTCCTTCTCTTCATATTGTTATAGTCTGTCAAGTTTGTTTGTTTTAGTAAAAATTCAATGTAGCGGTAAATCACTATAATATCCTTTTCAATTTTCATTTTCATTGAACGGATCCAGAAAATGGGAAGTGAACACAAAAAAACAACAACAACAACAGAATTCCAACAAACACAAATCGATAATTGTAATTTTCTATTTATATAAAATAAATATGCCAACAACGAGAGAAAAAAAAATGACAGAATAAATGTCTATGTGTACTACACACTTCATCATTTGTACAATTTTTTTTTCTGGTGCTTACTAACAAACATAAGGTCTCAAACAATGATAATGATGATGATGATGATTGTCATGAAATGTCAATTTTCCTAAAACACTCAATGGGATCGACATTTTTGTTAATATCATTTTTTTTCACAATATTCAATTTCATTTTTGTTCAGTGTATACAATATTTGTTGCCGGGTTGATGACGAAAAAAAAAAAAAAATGAAATGAAATGAAATGAAAGTAAAATAAAATGAAAACTGATTAAAATTGTCATCATCGTTGTTGGAAAATGACTTTTTTTCAAAAAAAAAATTGAACAGACTCCAATGAAAAAAACAAAAGAAAAAAAACTTGAATCTAGTGAAAAACGAAACAAAGATAGGAAAAATATAAGTAAATAAATAAATAAAGTTGACGGCTAAAAATTAAGTTTCTCTCTCTCTCTCTCCTCTGTTTTTCATTCGGATTGTTCGAAGCGTTCATCCAATTTGTTGTTTGTTGAATCTCAGTGAGAGAGAGAGAGAGAAAAGAAAAGAATAAACAACAACAATAATAAGCTGTAAGCAAAGAAGAAAAAAATTAATAACAAAAGACTAGTTTTTTTGATTCTTTTTTTTCAGAATTCTTTCGTTGTATAACTGCTCTTTATACTGGCTGGCTGGCATTTTTTTTTGTTGGATCGGCTCATTCTCTTTTGTTTTGGGTGCATCTCTAAATGGCTTCAGTTTTTTTAAGAAGAAAAACAAAAGATTCATCATCATCAATTTATCTATATATATCAGTGATGGGTTGATGTAGTTTTTGTTGTTCTTAAGACAGTGAACGAATCAAAAGATTCAAAACGTACAATGATGACAGTGACAAAAAGAAGAGAATACAAACATACAGAATGATTCAAATGTTGACTAAATTTGTCAAATTAACGCAAGTTTTTCAACGAATTGACTGAATCGTGTAGAAGAAAAAGAGAGAGAGAAAAAAAATTCTTGGTGAAATGTAAAATTTTCTTTTCGCTTATACTACCGTTTTAAAGATTTCCTTTCTCGATGAATGAAAAAAAATAAAGATAAATTTAGTCAAACAAAAAAAAAATGAACAACCATAAAAGCTGAAACAAGATGTCATGATTCTATCCTGAAAAATCTGAACTTAGATGTGAATAACAGTAATAAAAAAAAATTTAAAATGAAAAATCACTAACAAATCACTTTGACAACAAGGTAAAATAGATACAGCTACATAAACCGATGAAGAATTTCAACAATAAATGATGTTTGTGTGTGTGTATGATTTAAAAGAATTTAGACGAAAGTAAAAAGTTTGAACAAGCGAATATTTATAGATTGATGTTTGATGATTTAAATTTTAAAAGATAAAGATGGAAAAGATAGGATAGTGAATTTGTTAGTGTGTGTATGTATGTATGTGTTCCACTTACGATTCATATCCAGTATGACCGTTGCACTGATTGGTTCAGTAACGTTATTATTCGAAGCACGACAAGTCAAAATTGACATAAAATCAGATCGATTTAAATTACGTATATTTAATTCATTTCGTACAAGACCATGTGGACCAATTGTATATGTTGAATCGATGAGACGATTTGCCTGATACCAATTTACAGATGGTGAAGGTTTTCCTGTGTTTTGTTTGCAATGTTTGGAAAAAACGCAAAAACAAACAATGAATGAATGAATGAAGATAAATGGACAAATTGAATGGTAACAAAAATAAAAACAAAAACAAAACTATTGGAACAATGGGCTCCAATTAACTCAAGCAAACAATGATCACGAACATCAAATAACAAAATTGACAACACACGCAACAACAACATACCTCCTTCTGCTTCACAAATTAAAATCACATTCGAACCTTCATCATATGGTCCGATAACTCCTTCTAGTTTTTGTCCTTCAACATCCATAATTAGTAATTCTTTTGGAGGCACTATTTTATAAATAAGAAAGAAAAATCAAAAAAATTGACCAAAGAAATTCCAGATCTGTAATAAATGCCTCATAATGCCATACAAAAAAAAATTAACATACCTGTAACATTAAGCAATACAATAACATTTTGTGTACGTGATTGACGAAAATCAACACGGCAACGATATTCAGCAGCATCCGATGCCATTACCGGTTTAATTCGTAATACTGGTGGTTGTTGTTTCATATCGAAATAAAGGCGTTTACGCGATTCATCCGATGTGGTATGGATGGCTTTCGATAAAGGCACATTACGGGCATCAACACGATATATTGGCACACCGGTATCGCCACGAAACCATAATACTAATGATACTTCATCTTCTATCCACGTTGTATTGCAAGGAATGTCTACTGAGCTACCGGATACTGTCGATACTTCGGTTATGCCTGTCATTTTTAAAAAATATAAACGTTAATTAGATTTTTCATAATTCATTTCATCGATTTGATTGCAAAATTTAAAAATAAAAAAAAGTTTAAATTTGATTGTTTCAAAATTTCTATGGGGAAAAAAATGATACAATTATTCAAATTTTTCACAGAATTAGATCAATTTAAGGTGAATTCGTTGGGTTCTTTGAATTATTTTGAACAATCAAAAAAAAAAAAAAAAAAACAAAAAAAAAAAAAATCAACGAATTCTCTGGTGCGGAATGAAAAACGATTCCAACGACAACGAATGAAAAGAAGCCAAAAAATTACTTTGGGATTGTACGGCTGAATGTTGATGAATGTTTTTTATTTTATTTACAAACTAAACACTCATTATCATTAAAACACGATCGATCAATATGTCAGGACTGCAAAAACACACACACAAAATACGAATGAACTTAGATGTAGTAAATTCTTATTTATATTTTGCGAAGAAAAAATTTTTTGTTTCCAAAACATTGGATCATCATAAAATTTTTTTTTCTTAAAAATCAACTTAAAAAACAAACAAACTAAAAAAAAAATTTCACAATTCTGAATGCCTATTCAAACCGATCAAGCACAATCTAGTCATCATCGGTGGTATAGGAACAAAAAACAAAAAAAAAAAAACAAAAATAAAAACATCCAGGGATTACCAACACAGAAAATGAGATATGATGACAACTAGAATTTTTATTTTATTTTATTTCTTTTTTTGAATAAATTGGAGAAAAAAAACATGACTAAATCAACCAAAGTAAATCACATGAGACCATAGAACTACTATAGAATTTCTTCCTGTTTTACTCTTTTTTTTTTTTTTGTTAGGACTTTTGGTCCGAAAATGGATTACACAATTTCACAATAGTATAGACAACAACAAAATAGACACACAAAATGCATAGTAATATAATGTGAAACCTTTTGAAAACAAAACAACTTGACTTGATGAATGTTGTGTATGGGTTAATTTACAATATAAATGAATGGGAATAATTTATTATATTATTTTCTATATCTAAATTGATACGTCCAAAATCTTTCTATGTATATAATAAATATATTGGTTTTCGAATGAATTATTGTATCATCTCATTCGAACCAAAAAAAAAAAAAAAACAAATGAATTGAAATCAATTTATATTAGGAATATGTGAATTTCAGAAGAGTTGATTGGCCGATTTTTTCATTCGATATTTCGGTCAAGCTAGGTTATTTATATACCAAAATGATTCAGTGATTGGTACACATTTGTCATATTATGGACCAGTGGCCCAAAATGCCAAACAACAACAACAAAAACAGAAACATCATATTGGATCGAATCAAGAAATGAAAAATAATATAATAATCAGATAACAAGCCAATGTGTACGAGATGAATGAATGTTCATAAGTAAGCATAAGGTAAACTTTCAAAGTTTCCCGGAAACCAGAAAAAAAGAAGAAAAAAAATTTCCGAACGTTTGGCCAATTGGAATGTTCAATTTACGCGTCAATAATTCATTTTCACCATACGAATAGATTACATTTCTCTTCCTGTGTACCATAGGTTGTTCTGGCCCAATATTGGGTGAAATTGAAATAAATAGCCTACGATGTTAAATTGAAAAAAAGGGACATTAGGGGCAATTTTTAATGTATTTGATATAAAATCGACAATAACAAAAAAAATCGTATTTCAAAATAATAAAAAACAAAAATTTTTGATGAAAAAAGTCTATATATGAAAATCAAACTCACAATTAATCACATCATATTGAATTTGGAAAGAAAAAAAAGATAAATTTTTTTCGAACACAAAAATTTGGATTCATTTTTTTCCAGCTTTCCACGACCTAACCATATATGGACCATTACATATATCTATTCCAAAATAATCTGAAATCTGCATTCATTCTAATTCATTAGCATTCAGAATGAATTCGAAAGAATGCAAATAATTAAGGCTGAAAAAAAACTCGAGATCATAATGAAACATTGAAAATTCTCAAAGCGAAAATGTTTTTTTTTTTGCTTATATGATGATGATAATGATGATACAATTAAGAATTTCTTCATTATGGTGCATGAATTAATATTGAAATGATGATTGCTAACATATGAAATGAAATACAATACATACCAACAAAACGTGAACGAAATCAACCGATAAAAATTCAATTATCTTTACATCATGAAAAAAAAAGAATATTTGGGAAAAAAACACTTTGTCTTGATATCATTTGAGTCGTTTGTTTTGTTTATCATTTATACAACAATTCAGATACAACACATTCATATATGTCGTTAATTTTTTATTCGTTAACAATATCTGTTTTTGCCATTGTCTTTATATATTTGATCATCATCATCATTTACAAATTATGTATCGATGAGAATAATGACGATTGTTGTTGTTGTTGTTATTATTATTGTAAGTAATAAGTATCGATAATAAACGCGTGTAAATGTTCATTTTTTTTTTTGCTGTATGGATTGTGAATTTGTTTCTTCTTTCATTCAGTCAATATCAGTAGCAATCACAACATTTTTGTTTTTTCAGTAATCGAATAATCATTGAATCGTATCGAATCAGATTCATTTTCAATTTGTACCATCTAAGACAAAAAAAAGACGATAAAAAATTACACTACCATCATCATCATTAAGAAGATGATGTTCAGCTACTATTCAGAAATTGACTTTGTACCATTTTGATTTAATTGTTGTTTTCGTTGTGTGTGTGTGTTTGTTTGTTTAGACATCTCAAAAAAAGAACAAAAAACAAATGAAACGATTCATTTTCCAGCCAAAAAAAAAAATTAATTTGGAATATAAATTATCAAACAGACAAATTGATCGATTCGATTGGTTTCAAAATACAAAATTCTCCGTACAGGTTATTGAACTACGACAGAAAAAAAAATTTGAAAAGTAATAGAATAATAGAGTGGAAAAAAAAGTTGTACAGAAATATTTTCCTTTTTTCAAATACATCTTTTTTTTCACAATGAAATTCTGAATACGATGATATATTTATTCGAGAAAAATATCTTCAGGATAAATCAAGGATTTTAATATTTTTGTGGTATTAAATAAACAACATGAAAAAAAAATTCTTAACAAAAAAAAAAGAAAACGAAAAGAGTGAATCGATTTCAAATCGTATTATGTGTGAGTGTGTCTGTTGTTCATTTGTTGTAATCCAATTTTTGTAGGTGTTTGACTGTTGAAAAATTCTTTCTATAAACCTTTTTAAAAGCACTGAAACTGAATTCAAATATTCAACCAACATAACAGATATATAATATTCTGACAACAATTCTTTTTTTTCTGTTGTCATGACTTATTCTATTCAAATTATTGAATGCTTGAATTGTTGTTGTCAAGATGAGAAATTTTTTTTTTTTTTTTGAAATAATCAAAATAACAAGCAAACTTTTATACGAAAAATGAAAAATGGAAGATGTTACCTATTACAATCTAATAACATGGTAATTCAATCATTGTTTTTTGTTTTGTGTTTTTTTTTTCACTTTCATTCAAACGAATGATGATGGTTGACATATAGCGGAAATAACATCGACATTCAAATGAAAAAAGATGATAAAAATATGTATAAAAAAATTGAAAAATAAAATTTAAAATTTAAAATGAATGTTAAAAAAAAATTCTAATTGGCAAGAGACCACTGACGCTTTTCATCGTTAGTAGTTATGAAATTCGGCAGAATTTTTTTTTTGTTTTGTTTTGTTTGTCATTTCTCAAGTGTCTCTCGAGACCAGACGAGTAACCAATCACTATATATGAACATACAAAATGATGATGAGTAAATGAGAATTATTCAATTTAAAATATACAGGAAAAAAACAGAAAAAAATTGAAAAATTTTTTCTTGTTAAAACAGAATCAAGATATTAATATTTTTTTTAACGAAAAAAAAACACTAGAACAACAAACACAAACACGATATATTAAAATGTGTCTATGTGTCCGTGTTTGTGTGTCTGTGTATGGTACTTGGATTTTAATTAACAATTCAGAATGAAAAAAAAAAATTACACGCCCACGAATCCAATGGGAAAAAAAGATCAGTTTCAAGATTCAAACAAACAACCAAAATATCAGAATGAAACCAGTAAAAAATGCTTGAAAAAAATTGATTATGTTTGTTTAACTTGTTTTTTGTTTCTTTTATTTTTCAGTGAAAAAAAAACTTATTAAATAACAAACAAAGATTTTGATTTTCGATTTTCATCATCACTTGAAGAGAAACTCAAAATTTTTTCAGCATCTGAAATAAAATTGAATGAATGAATGGATGACAAGTACAATAATCAAAACGTTGAATCAGATCACTATGATGATGATGATGATGAAATCTTCGTAACAATTTTTATTTTTCGATTATATAATTTAAAATGAAATTGAAATTTTGACAACTGAAAAAAATAACAAACATTGATTGTGTCCATCACAACAATCGAAATGAATGAATTTTTGTAGAGAAAAAAAAAGTGTTGAAAGAAAAGAAAAAATTATCAAGATTTTTTTTTTGTTCAAAACAAAATGTTTGTTCAGGCTCGCCACTTGTAAAATATAACGAGAATTGAGAATCATATCTCAATTAAATTTTTCTTTCGGTCTGTTTTTGTAAGTTATGAAATTTCAATCTTTTTTTTTCTGTTATCACATTTTGTTTGTTTCCATCGTCATCATCATCATCATCATCTGTCACATTCTTTGTATCTTTGATCACTTTCAGTTGTAATTTTTTTTCCTTCTAGATTCTACAACGTAAATTGAAATAAGAATCCAAGCAATTCATAGATTGTATCTAATTTAAAATGAAAATCATAAAAAAGAGGCGGGTGAATTCAAACCGAATGTGAATGAAAAAAAAAAAAAAAAAATACCGGGCAAAATGAATGAATTGTAATCGAAAAGAATCGAAATGAATAAATGAATGAAAAAAAATTCTTCAAAAACCAGTAGCAAAAAAAAAGAATCTCTTCACTGCTTCTTCTTTTTTTTCTCATTCTATTCAATGATTTAAAATTTCAATTTTTTTCATATATTTTTATCATTACTACTACTAAAAAAGCATCACATTTTGTACATCTTTTTTTTCTCTCGAAATCACTTATTTTTATTTCCATTGAATTTTGTATGAATGTTAATCTTCATGAACAAGAAAATGGAACTAAATCGCAACAAAAAAAAAGAATGAAAAATGAAGCAAAAAAAACTATCCAAATAATCTATGATCAAAATTATCATTATCGTATTCGTCGCGATCAAAAAAAAAAAAAAATCGATTTCTATCTGGAAATCTTAATCTGGTATTATTCTGGATGCCTGTAAAACACACATATTGCAATTAAATTCATCTATCCAAAATAAAATATTGAAACGGGATAAAAAGTAGTGTGAAAAAAATCACTAGTTAAAAGAGCCAACCAGTGAAAAAAAAATGGTGATGATAAAAAATGCAACAACAAATACCACCATCAATGAATTCTGGCCAATGTTTTTTGAACAAAGAATGCAAGCTTCATTAATTTTTGCATCCCAAACACACAAATACAATAAATATGAAAACCAAAAAAAAAAAAAAAAAAAAAAAATGGAAATAGGATTTTTGTTGGCTATCCACACATGCCACACGCAATAATCATTGTGGAATTTTGGTTTTTTTTCCATATTTGGATCTTTATCTTCATATATTTAGCTTCTAGTCTATTATTCTTGTTTTCTCTGGCTTTGTTTGTTTGTTTGCTTGTGTGTGTGTGTGTGTGTGTGTGACGACATGCAATTTTGTTTGATTTTTTATTATTATTTTTTATTATTTTCATTCAATTCGATTCCAAATGATATGAAAACCGTAGATAATAATCATCGTATACACACACACACACAGTATGATTGTACATTTTTTTTTCTTACCAACAATTCTAAATAGGTTTTGATGGTAGATATTTACGGAAATATACACATTAAATGCTGCTACTATTATATACAAAAAATCACCACCATCACCACCACCACCACCGCCATCATCATCATCGTAATGGCAATGTAAAATATATCGACCACAAAAAAAAACAAAACAAAACAATGATGAAAATAATAAAAGAAAAAACCGATTTATGAATGAATGGCGATAAAAACAAAAAATTTCTTCATATTCTTTCTTTCATCATCATCTTTTTTTTTGTTTCGATCGCCAATGAGAATGTAAACCATGATTTTTTTTTCATTTTAATAAAATTGCAAGATGTTCGAATTGGTTTGGTTTGTATTTTTTTTGGTGGTGGTGGTCAGTTTCAAATTGCCAAGAAAAAAAATGAAATGAAATAAATTTCAAAAAAAAAAAAGAAGAACAACAACCAAAAAAAAAATTGGCCATTATTGTGCCATTAGTTTTAACTGAAAAAAAACCAATAAAAAATGGACAAAAAAAAAATTCAAAACACACGCACACAATGCATGTGCTAATTTTACAAATGCAAACCAACAGCAACAACAACAACAACAAGAAAATGGACATTTTGAAATCAAATCAACTAATATGCTAGTGATGGAAACAAAAAAATATATAATCGACAAAAACAACAGAAAAAAATCATCATTAAATCATCAAAATTCATCAACCAAGAATAAAAAATACAGCCAAAGGCCAACTATTAAATAGAAAAATAATATTTGATATCATTCTGATAACTATGGACACAGAATCTATATATATCCAGAGAGCCAATTCTGACCATTCATTTCGATTGCATTTTTATATATGTATGTTGGTGAGACAATAGAGTGAAACAAAACAAAACAAAAAATATTAATATGTTTGTTCAAGCAAAAATTTTCATTGAATGACACTTGAATGATTTGTATTTTTCTCGAATGATGATAATGGCCATTGTTTTTGATAAAATAGCTGATTTGTTGGTTATTGTTATATATATTTTGTCAGCTTTTCGGATGAATAGACAAATAAAATGCTAAACAAGTTTTTTTTCTGATATAACCGAATAAAAATGAGAAAAAATATATATATTTGTGTTCTATGATGATTGCATAGTAGCCAATGGAAAGGAAAAAAAGGAATGTTCAAACAATTGTCTTTTTTTTAACAACATCATCTCTTTATCATCACTAACATAAATACATTGTTTCATTTGATTTTTTTTTCTTTTATTTTCAA